TCCCCTGACACGTCGGATTTTCATGTAGCCAGTTGTTGTACGTCATAGTGATGAAGCAGTTTCTAAATTACTTCTTGGTCAACGCTGTCTGTTGAAGGTCATTTCGAAGTCGATGAAGTTAACGTACAGATTTGACTGTCATTCTATGCTCTGTTATGTGACTACGATGCGTAGAATTGCAATTTGATCAGTACATGATTTGTCTTTCCTGAATCCAGCTTTGTTCTGGTCGGTGGGCGGAGTTCTGGAATCCAGTGCATCTTTTATTCATTCCAAGAGGATACGACTAGGTATTTTATTCGGTGTCGTCAAGAGCATTATGATTCTGATGCCAATAACCCTGAAAAATTCACAGTGCTGTCAAATACTAACTCTCTTTACTTTTGTATAAGTTAAATAAGTTTGTTGGTCATCTTACACTGTTTTTATATTATTTCTCTGAATCGAAATCTTCACTCAGTGTAAGCGATTTTGCTCATTCATTGAGCTGTTTTTATTCGGATGTCGGGTGACCGATATAAAAAATAAAGGCGTGTTATCTCATAACTTGATGTATTTCCTAGTCAAAACGTATCTATGCCCTCATGGCTTTTGTTTCTCTGCTTTAATATAAGAAAAAATTTGTAGTTCTGATTGCATTGACTCAGAACTTGACTTCTTAAAAGCAACGCTCGCAGAAAACGGTTACTTGAACCGATTTATTGGCAGCAACATGAAAGATAAGCAGTCTAAACTAGTCACCGACTCAGTTCCAAAGAAAACCTTATTCAAAAGTGATCAAGCTTCAAATATACTCAAAAATCGTCTCTCTAAATCAGTCAGTGTAAGACGTTCTTTGCAGCAAAATTACAAATGACTTTCATCAGCCACAAGTTGTTCCCTACCTCTGTAAAAGATCAACTTCCCCGTCTGGCCGACTCTACAAGCATCTATCAGTTCACTTGATCTTGTGGAGCAAGGTACATTGGCGGTAGTCAGAGAACGCCGCTTTCCACACGGATACGAGAACATATTCCAGCCACATGGTTTTACAAGGGAGAAAGGAGGTGTGTGTGTGTGAAGCTCTATTCTGGAACACCTGATCAACTTCTGTCACTCTGTCAAGCCTGATCATGATTTCATGATCATATATAGATTCCATGCTAACTTTCTGGCCGCGTTTTTACGTTACAGATTCCTAAAGACAGCTGAAGCCTTGACAATTCATGACTTTAAGCCAGACTTTTGTGTACAAAAGAAGTATGTATGATCCCTACTTCTGCCTTGGCCCCAGAGGCGTAGACATTTATTTATTTTGTTTATTTAGTTTTTCTATGTACTTTCCCCTCATTAATACGATTATTATTATTACTATTATCACTCTGAATCTTTTCCATTTGACCCACTTGTCATTTTAAACCTAAAATTATCGACTTTAAAATTTTTTTTTACAATATTGAATTATATCTTATCAAATTTCACACCATGTTATGTAACATTTTATATTCGTCTACTAATCGTATAATTATGTACCCCTTTCCAAAATCTATACACCTTATGTATTATTCTATATATGGTAATAATTATTTTGCGCATGTTTGACATGCATGTCGTCATTAATATTAATATTACTACTATCATTATTTATTTTATTTTCACATTTACCCACATACTTTCTAACTAATTTATCATGGTAATTATTAACTTTCAAAGCTTCTCTTATATGCCTCACTTCCTGTCTTAGATTTGCCTTCGTACTACTCAGTTTCTGTGCTCTATTATTTAAACATTTCACCAATCCTATTTTCACCGACATAGGATAGGATGATCAGAAGTCCAAATATCTGTTTGAATCTGTGGGTTTCCTGTGAACACTAGTGTTCAACTTCCCATCTTCTTTCCTTTTTACGCTACAATCTAACATTTGTGGCTCCCCTTCCTGACTTTCCAATTCATGAGTGAATTGAATTCCCTCCACCTTTGAGTTATAATGTGTGCGAAAAATCTTTCTAAATACTGTGTTCTAAATACAATGAATGTGTCATCTACATATCTCCACCACACGTTTGAGGTGGGGGTGAACGTTTCAATCGCTATGTTTTCCCACCTTTCTATGAATATGTCTGCCACAGTCGGGGATATTGGTGACCTCATGGCAACTCCCTCAGTTTATTTGTATATTTTCCCCTGGAATTTAAATACTGTGGAAGTCAGGCATAATAGGATTGTAGTGGTTCTACAAGTGACTTAACTCTCTGAACTAATTCTAATTTGGTGCACCTCCGATAATAATAAGCTCATCAGCATCCGTCATTACGTCTACTAAGGCACACATCAAGGAACAGAATACTTAGCCCAGATTCCTTTTCTATGGTGAATTGTTTGGAAGGATGGCAGTTGTTGAAAGCAAACAAGACAACATCAAGAATTACGTTATTATCGTAGATAACGAAAGTGTCGTCTACGTATCTTTTGTAAATGTCGAAATTACCAATGATTTGACTAAGTTGAGAATTTTCAAGCTTCGCCATAAAAATGTCAGTCAGCAGGTGACCCAGTCGTGATCCCATGGCAATACCATCTCTCTGTCTAAAAATCTCATTATTGAAGATGAATTAAATATTCAACGCGCATTTCAATAAAAGTTCTTTAATGTAAATTGTCGGAAACTCTATTTCTAAACAGAAATAGCAGACAGTTACCATGAGAGGTACATTGGTAAATAGCGAAGTCACATCTAATGGGAACATGACTTTGTCTGAGACATTAAAATCTTTAATGCTATCAATAAATTTAAACGTATCATCAGTAGATATTTATTTATTTTGTTTATTTAGTTATTCTATGTACCTTTCACTTATTACTACGATTATTATCATTATGATTAATATTCTCACTGTGAATTGTTTCCACTTGTCCCAGTTGTCATTCTAAACCCAAAATTATTAATTTTTTAATTTTTTATTTTTATGATACTTCATTCTATCTTGTCAAATTTCACATCATGTTATGTAACGCTTTGTATTTGTCTACTTATCCTATAATTATACACACCTTCCCAACATCTATACACCCGTCTTATGTATTATTCTATATATGACATCAATTGTTTTGTCACTTGACATTTAACTATGATTAAAATCACAAATATTTTAATTGCATTTCACACTACTACTATTATTATTATTACTCGATGTATTCACTCACTCCTTTGACCTAATTCTCTCACCGGATATAATTTCTTACGTAAACCATATTTATACGATTGTACAGCTTGATAATTAAATTCGTTATTGAAAAGAGTCTCTTCACTAGATATTGTGTTCTTTTTGTACCCCTGTCTAGCCAAATTGTGTACACCTTATCTTCAACGCAACATTTGGGCACAGATCTTCCGTGTTGTGCCTGCTACTTCTTGCCTTCTTTCATATTGTATATGTTAATTTGTGTGCCTTTCACGTCTTCCATGTGTCTCCGCAATACTGTATCATTCGCCTTCTCTGACATCGAATCTATCTCCCTGATATTTGATGTTTGATTATCGCTACGAACATCTCTTTATATATATATATATGTACACTACTGATAAATCTTATCAGTAGCACATGTCAGACAAGCTTTCACTACTCTCAAATCTGTGTGGAGGTCAACAACAATAGACCACTGTGAACAATTACAAAATAAACCGTGTCGATTCAAGTTAACTTGCTGCTGTACAGAAAACAATAGTGAAGGAGAATACGAACACAAGAGAAAAAATAACTGAAAATCTGGTCTTTCTTTCTCTATTGAAGTTTATCAGGGGAATTAAATGTATGAAAAAAGAACTCTTGCATACTCCCATGAGTACAACAGGGTGACGCCAACAGTTATACGCCTCATCCAACAGTTACGCGATTATGCTGAGTGACAAGTAATCCACGAGAGGCAACTGACGGAATCCTTCGAAGTGAAGACAGGGATAAGACAAGGCTGGCTGCGTTTTATCTTCAATAATTTTCCTGATTACAGTAGCCTGCATAAGACGACAGATAGTGGCGGGCAGCGAGGAGACGAGCATAAAATGGACTCACACAAAAAACTTGGAGGATATGGACTTCAACGATAACATACATATGTCTGATTTCCCACAAACTGGAAGATACGCGAGTTAAAAACAGCAAGTTGGTGATAGAAGAAGCATCAAAGATAGGACTTCAGGCGAACATAGATACAAAACAGAGGTGATACAGATTCCTGGCCAACAACAACATCAGTCAAACAATCGGAATGTATGGAAGGAATCTGAAAGATGCAACCTCCTTTACCTACCTGGGAAGCATCGTTTCAATTACAGGCGGACGGAACTGATGAGGATATCATCAAAGTGAGGATTGCGAAAACAAAACAAGCTTTCATTATTCCTAAGTGTGTGTGGGGATCAACACTCAGCACTAATCAGCATGAAAAATGAGATCCGGAATTTCAACGCAAATGTGAAGTCAGTGTTACTCACATTACGGATCAGAGAATTGGCGAGTCACGAAGGACGCTTCGAACAAACTACACGCCTTCATCAACAGCTGTCTTCGTTTAACATTGCTCAAGATCAGATGGCGGCCAGAAAAGATTAGCAACAGAGAGGGATCTCTGGAAGCAAACTAAGCCAGCAGAAATCAAGTGTGCAACAAATCTGCAGGAAGATATGGAGATGGATTCGATTGGCTATACTCTTAGAAAACCATCAAGTGACATCCCTAGACAGGTCCTCAAGTGAAACCCGAAAAGAAAGCGGCGAGTTGGTCGTCAGCACAAAGGTGGTTTGGAGGAGGTCATGTGAAGATGAGATGAAAGCATGTTGACAGACGTGGAGGCAGGTGAAAAAGTTGGCGGAGAACCGAACGCAAAGGAGACGTGCAGCTGAAGCCCTATGTTCCTCTAGGAGCTAAAGGGAACAATAATTATAATAATAATGAAACATGTTGAATTGATATATACATAACCATACTCTAAGTTAAAAAAAAAGTGCTTTTTAAACTTACCGCTTTCTTAGTTTTATCAAAAACAGCTTTAGCTAATGATGTATACATTTTAGGGAATTGTTCTTTTGATGCAATCATGGAATCCTAAGAAAAGGAAAGGAAAGGATACATGTGTATAAAAAACATTAAAATAGACGAAGAGGAAATGCTAGTCAGCTTTGACGTAAACAGTCTCTGTATGTTAAAATGCCCATTTATTCAGATGGCAATAAATGGGCACTGAACGTGAGACTGAAAAGAAAAGATAATGGCTTACAAGAGAGGAAACAATAATCCATAGAAGAAATAATAAAAGACAGTTGAATTCTGTCTGTCTGACAACAACAACAACATATTTTACATTTGAAGGAAAAATATAACGACAAAGTGAAGGAGGAGTAGCCGTGGGAACACTCATCTTACCAATAATAGCTGACATATTTATGGATTTTTGGAAAGAGAATGCACCTAAACCATTCAGTTCATCAATAAAGTGTTGGTGGAGATGCGTAGACGACACGTCAGTAATAAGAAAGAAGAAAACTAAACGATGTTGAAAAATTCTTCTCACACACATAAACAGTCATATCGACTCAATAAAATTCACTATGGAAGCAAAGAATGAAACATTGTGGAAACTGCCTATGTTAGGCTGCAAAATACAAAGAGTAACAGATGGTAGGTAGCATAAAAACGCCGCAATATAGAAAAACCACACACTCTGGAAGATCCCTTGGTTATCACTCAGCTCATCCATTCACGGTAAAACGAGGATTAATACAAGGTCTTGCAGATTGGATACGTAGACTTATAACAACACCAGATGTTACTCGACAACAACTATCCCCCAAAAGAATTTTCTAGAGAAAAAAGAGGGTAAAACCAGAGAATCACAAGAAGGAGGAAGGCAAAAATTAAACAGTCACGATACCACACATCAGAGGCGTAATTCGAAGAAACCTCAAAGATATTGGGATTCACATTACGTTTAAACCGACAAATTTAATTCAAAATAAGATAAATCAACTGAAAGATACCATAAAAATGATGGATAAAAGTAGTAATGTAATTTACAAATAGATTTCTTGTGCTGAGTGTCCAACTAAATATGTGCGTCAAACATCCAGATCACTCAAAGTAAGAGTGAATGAACATGAATGCCTAACTAAAGGTCAACCAACAGGAACACCACGCTTACAAGAATTTAGAAAAATAAATTGTCTATAGTGGGCTACGCATGCAGCATGGAGTAAAACCACACTATCGATTGGAACAATGTTTGTGTATTCTGAAAACGAATATAAGCAAATGGGAAGGGAGACTACTAATAACAGAATCTATATTCATTAACGTCACGCTGTTGGATACATGGAGCAGAGGTGACTCAGCAGCACAGTTATCAGAATATAACCAAAAATCACAAAACCTTATCGTTGTGTGTAAACTATTGGAATATAATTATGCTTTTATTTGATCTATTCGACAACGCTGAAACATTTCACTGACATATATGTGTATATATTTTTCATCAGGCTTCAGTTATATTTAATTTTGGTAGGAGAAACGAAAGTAGACTGGAAGACAGATAATCCACTCAAAATTCTAAGTATTTACTACATTGAATTATTGAAGTCGATGTCATGTTCGACTTATATATTAAAGAAGAGATAGACGTCAATTTATTACTGACAATTTTTTAAATTAATACTAAATCCATTAAAAGTTTTCGGTTTAATTATTCATACTATTTTTATGTGATTACATGTCACGCCTTTGTTTCTTTCTTGGCGGCGTGCTTAAAACTTCCTATATATATTTTTTCTCTTGTTCGATGTGTCTTAATCGAGTAAGATATGACTTCTTATGGCATTATCTACTCTTGTGTGTATTTAAAAATGTTTATAACCTCCTGATTCACAATTTACCGCTAAATTAGAGGAATGCCTTGTGTTGTGAGAGTGTCAAAGATACGTGAGATATCTGATCGGACGCTAGTAACTAGAGTGACGTGTCTAGTCCTTTCTTTGGTGCAGACTGAATTCTATCAGTCAGGTTTGTAATGCGGCCATCATGCCACTAGGTAGCTCACCATCATGGTGCACATTGATTTCATGATATTAGAAAGTTGGAAGCAATCGGCTACAGGAAGCCTTGATGGCATCTAGGTTTCGTGCTAGATGGTACTCGTCAGCAAGGCGTATCTGCAAACCTTGAAGGAACTCATGTCCCTTCTGAGATTCGAACCCAAGTGACCCAGAGTCGTTACCACTCAGCTATTCAGGTTCGCAATTGATCTCCTATAGGACTGTAGTGGGTAGTGCGATTGGACACTAGTAACTAGAGTGAAGTGTCTAGTGCTCTGTTTAGTGCAGACTAAAATACTATCAGTTGTTTAAGTTTGTGGGTTTTATAGCAATCCAATAAAGACATCCATGATCAAACATCCTGGTTAGGTGTATCAAGGGTGATGCTGCTTTTTAAAAAAGAAATTATTGACTGTCAATTTTATCGATTATAATTCCGATTGGATCATCTTTGAGATCCTTGTTTGATCATATATGAAGCTGGCGTGGAATTTTGCAGTATGGTAAGATTTGAATTAAGCTGACTTTAAGTTAGCAATCCAATGTTCCCACTGACCAACTAGTAGTGATAATCACTTGGTGAGTAGGTCTCATTTCTAGTCCAATAGCCTGGAAGACACTTGTTCCTATCCTGTAGTAGTTCACATTTCCAATTCACTTTTATGCATTATCACTGAACCATAATGTCAAATAGCCCGTTACTTTCGGAGGTAGTAATGACAGTATGACGACATATACTACTGACTAATATGAGTAGTTTAAAACCACTCAAGTCAACACAGGATTGCGTGTTAGCCAAATCTAAAGGATTTAAACACCACACACGACCTTTCCACTGACCTGATGATGAGATTATTATTATCATAGGTGCACCAGGTTAGAATTAAGTTCAGAGAGTTAAGTCACTTGTAGAACCACTACAATGCTGTTATGCCTGACTTCCACAGCATGTAAATTCCAAGGGAAAATATACAGATAAACTGAGGGAGTTGCCATGAGGTCACCAATATCCCAGACTGTGGCAGACATATTCATAGATAGGTGGGAAAACATAGCGATTGAAACGTTCTGCCCCTCCTCAAAAGTGTGGTGGAGATAGGTAGATGACACATATTCACTGTATTTAGAACACAGTATATAGAAAGATTTTTCGAACACATTATAACTCAAAGGTGGAGGGAATTCAATTCACTCATGAATTGGAAAGTCAGGAAGGGGAGCCACAAATGTTAGATTGTAGCGTAAAAAGGAAAGAAGATGGGAAGTTGAACATACTAGTGTGTGTTTACAGGAAACCCATACATTCAAACAGATATTTGGACTTCTGATCATCCTATCCTATGTCGGTGAAAATAGGATTGGTGAAATGTTTAAATAATAGAGCACAAAGATTAAGTAGTACCAAGAAAAAAATCTAAGAAAGGATTTGAGACTTAACAGAAGCCTTGAGACTTAATAATTACCCTGATAAATTAGTTAGACAGTATGTGGGTAAATGTAAAAATAAAATAAATAATGATATTAGTGATAGTGATAATAATAATAATAATAGTAATATTAATGACGACATGCATGTCAAACATGCTCAGGATAATGACAACACCAACAATAAGGAATCTAAATCATCAGTAGTACTTCCATACAAAGAAGGGACCTCGGAAACCTCACAGAGGAGAATTCTTACCAAGGTAGGCAGGAATAAAAGTGACTGGCATTCAAACCCACAAACTCAATTACAAACAAGCTTTGTCGGTTAAGGGATCAATCCTGTGGAGCGTTTATGACAAATCAATTTAGTTTGTCTGATACCCTGCTGGAATGACTGTCAGGTCAAATACATAGGTCAAAGTAGTAGAACAGGGGCAGTCAGACTAGCCTAAAATAAAAGCCTAGCAGAAAAGTCTGGATTAGTTGACCTCAATAATAAGATAAGAAATCTGGAGAATAGTTCAGATATACCACCCACTACATGGAATCATACACAACTATACCAATAGGCTGAACAGGACAAGATGACAGTTTTAAAATATAATGCAACTGACAGGGTCGAAGGAGAGATTGATAACACAAGCTTTGTTTATCGGATCAACTGAAGAGAGTACGTGTAACAGGAATGATTGAACACCTGTCCAACCAGATATCTTGAAAATTCTACTACCCCTACGACGACAACATAGGAGAGAACACAAAAAACTACAAAATTCAATTTTCGGAGTTGTGTGATCATAATTGATGAAATGATTATGAACAGTAATAAATTGTGTTCGAAAGGCGTTGTCATCCAGTAAACAATAATACCGTTTCATCACTCTGTGATACTATCTAATAAACAAACTAATATGGAATTACTTACTACCACAGTGCCCAAGTTTTACACATATATTAACACTACAGTCCTAGCTAGTCATTAGGTCTAACTGGTTCTGAAAGGCAGTGTACGTATTCGGAGAACAGAAAGCTCATTTTCTTACAGTTTCACTGAAGGGCCCTCATCAAATGCGTTATGCTGTGTGTATGTCTACATGTCTATGAGTGTATAGAAGAGGGAAAGAGTTCAGAATATGATAGGCAGACAAAGATAGAGGAATATGAAAAAGTACAAGACAGAATATTATATCACAGACTTACAATTCTAACAGGATCTGGTTCAATTAGCATATTTTGCATTAATCCAGTCATGTATGAAACCTGTGGCATCGTCTGAAAAGGAATTTAGAATTATAAGAGTGATTTATGAAATAATAATATGAAATACTTTAAATAAATCGGATTTTTAAGTACTGATTTTTATGGATTTGATAGATTGTTTACAGGATTTCATCATCAGCTGACAAATACTCGCTGAAGACAGTGCCTAGAGGTTGCGCGATGTCGTGCGTGAATTGGTAGAGGTGAGGATTGATGGACTGGCCATTGGATTGTCGGATCCCAGTGGCTTAATGGTATACGAGCTGGCTCCCTCGCCTTTTAACCAGAAGGTCGTGGGTTTCGACTCCGTGATGTGGGCGAGAACTGATGAAGAGTCCCAAACTAGGACGTAACACCCCGCTGTCCAGTACTCCCTGTAGGTTTTCCAATGGTTCTGTAACTAATGTCAGCTTATGATGAAGTCCTGTAATAAATCGGATTTACTATTTCACAGTCTGAGAATAAAATCAAATATGTTAAAAGAATAAGAAGTATTGAACGGTGGCATATAAACTACTGACTACATGGAGGATTTCATCATGAGCTGACATCAGTCAGAGAGCCACTGGAAAACAAACAGGGAGTACTGGACAGCTGTTTCGTCCTAGTTTTGGACTCTTCATCAGTACGCCCCCATCACAGAGGGTTAAAACCCAGGACCTTCTGGTTACAAGGCGAGCGAGCTCATAGACCATTATGCCACTTTGACACACTCCTGCACCTCGTCAGGCAAAACCAGAAGCCTATATAGAAAACTATGTCCTCGCACTGGCAAGTACACGAACTCAACCATACCCCACCTAGCTCATGTTCTGTGAGATCAAGAAAGCATTAGACGTAATACCTATAACTTATTGAATAGTCAGTAGAACAACTGGATTTCGTCTTTCCAACTCATATCATTTTTAGGTACAACGTTTTCTTTCTTTCTTTTCCTTTTCTCTCTCTTTTTTTCTGTTATGTGCTGCTTTGTTTCTTTCTTCCTTACAGACTCTTTTAAAACATTCTTCTTCGTTCTTTCACACTCTGTATATCTCGACTTATTTGTTACCGCTTACGCCAGTAAATATGCCAGTTAGTATCTATTTCTCTAACATCTTCAAACACTCTGTTCAGTTTTTGGTTTTGCTGCCGACATGCCAAAATGTTGTTGTCAAAACTAACTGAGATTAGCCTTAATCTATGTGGAATTCTATTTATTGTTAATGTACTAAATGGATGCAATACTGTGGTAAAATGCTGAAAATGGCATTCTTTATCACAATTACTGTTATGGAATAAAGCAAATTATTGTATAATGGACAGCCCATGAATTCCTACTTCTGCCAATTCACACATGACATAGCGTGACCATTTCGCAACGTCTTCTACGATGAGTTACTGCCTCATCTTCAACCTGCTGTACCCTACTAGTCATGGCTTCCCACCAGAAACCCAGGTTAACTGCCTGAAAAGGGCCAGTCGCTAGTGAGCATCAGATTAATTTTCAACTATTGGATTTGTAGGGATTTTGTTCGATTGCATGGAGGATTTTATCATGAGCTGACATTAGTTAGAGAACCACTGGAAAACCACATGAAAGTGCTGGGCAGCTGATGAAATCCTCTATTTAATCAAACGAATTCCGTGCAAATCCAATCCTTGAAAACTACTGACTAATATTACTAGCTGTTGAAAACCGAAAATGTATGTCGTTACGTACCATTGTTCACACACATACTGAAGAGATCTTTGAATGACAACACGCGGTAGGCCGTTAAGTGAAACCCAATAGGGGAATGATAAGTTGGGTGTCCGAGTGTGATATGGAGAAAATGAAATCTTATTGGCGATTTGGGAGCCAGCTAGGAAGAACTGTGGTAGAATCGAGTGAGGTGGAGATATACCGTGTTGACGTCCTATACAATAATATATACCACAAATGGATTGATTGCTGTCAACTAACAGTGTTTGTCAACCAAATTAACGTGGTCTAAAGACCAAAGGGTCGTTAAGCTACTTTGGAGCTGAGCTCATCTGCAATGTGCCAGGTTCAACTCAGGGAGGGAGGGGGGCTTAAAATCAGCTCAAAGCATTTGAATTGATACTTCAAATGTTCCGCATTTATTTGTCACGTTTTACAGTCACTTTGTAGTGCATTCGACAGACGATTGACATTTCATCTAACTGACACCTAACTAACATACAATCAGTAAATCAACGATCGAAATTATTAGTCACTTACGCATGACAGTTTGAATGATATTTTTGTGTAGGTGATGTTATTAAATGCTAAACTGCTTCATGACATAAGATCAGAGAGGGTATTGCAGAAAAAAAGAGAATAAGAAGTTCAGCAAAGATATTGATCTTTTTGACGATTTCATTCTCAAAAGTAGCTGTACAATCGCATTTAAATAAATGATTTTACATAGATACAATTCTATTTACTTTATTTCACATAATTACGACGGTGAATAAAAGGTGATAATTATTTTCAACTGGATATGGTTTACTAGAGGCTTAGAAACAAAATGGCACAGGATTAGAACGGATAACAAGTGTGTGGAAATAAAACTGAAATATGCACATTGTGCATATACCAGTTCACCTGCTCGTGTGGAGTTAGGTACATAGGTCGTTGCATCCACGCTCTTCCAAAATGGGTTAGAGAACATTACCCTCTGTGGCTGCAAAGAGGAAGCACCGGTCCAATCAGAAGTGTCATTATTGAACATCTGATCAACACCTCCCACAAAATCTCAGCTGATTCATTCAAAGTAATTTACAAAGTCAACAGAAACCTACCAAAAGCAGTATTTTTCCGACTTCTCTATACTGCAAAAGCCCTTGCAATATGCATCGAGAAGCCGGACCTGTGTGTTCAAAAGAAATTAGTCCAGCCTCTACAACTACCATGGACCTAGCTCGATGTGTTTCTTTAGATTCTGTTTTTTTATGTTGGGTGTAGACTTAATGAACCAGGCAAGATTCAGTAATCAACCTCTCTGGCTTTCCACCTACCTATATTACTTCTGTACACCATAGTGTATAGAAAACTAACACACTCTCCTAATAAATATTTAGAATTTAATTCTTCTCATCCGTTATCTCTCTGTGAGTGAAGGCTGGCTTAGTTATATGCCTGTCTAACAAACCAAGCAGTAGCAATTAGTTGTACAAGAGAAGACCTACATGATGAAATAAAACAGATAGAAGAGGAAGCGTTGGTGCTAAATAACTAACTATCGTTCATTAGGAAGATCAGAAAAGGTCAGCAGTAAAATAAAAATAATTGTGAAACTAGTAGTGATAACATAAATAAGGGAGAAAATAAGGCATCTAGAATAGTTTTACCATATAAGGAGGGAGAGGACATCTGAGACTCTCGCTGCATAAGATTCTGAATAAAACAGGAATTAGGGTGGCATTTAAACCTACAAATTCACTCAGGCAGACGAAGCTCCGTAGGTTAAAGGACCCTGTCAGTTGACCCAATTAGACAAAATAATATAATTTTTACAAAATACCTTGCAATGACTATGTGTTAAGTCAGTCGACTACGTAGGTCGAACTAGTAGATGGCGAGTAATCAGATTGTCAGAACATAAGAATTTAGCTAAGGTGAGAATGGTCGACTCCGAGAAGATAAGTAATTTCGCGAAAAGGATCTCAGCACTGCATTGTACTGTATGTATTAACACACAACCACACGATAGGGTGTGGGAGGGTTAAAGTTATAAAAAGAAATATAGGTAGGTGGAGATAGTGAGAGGTTGATTACTGAAACCTGCCTGGCCTGGATCATCGAGTCTACAACCAACACTTGCAGTAGGAATGACTCATGAAGTCAAGTGATGAAAAATAATGGAATTATATAAACGGAGTGTTATAAAGTTGTCTGAGTAGTGGCTTCATATGATAATGAGCAGTAATCAATCATTCTCAAAAGGTTGTCATCATTATTAAATATTACTGTATAACAAACACTGTGTAAAACTTTAGAAAAATAAAAATTTTACCAATAATAGAATTATAATCTACCACTGAAGTGCACAAGTCTTATTCTTATATCAATTGAAAAAGTTTAATTTGGAACCATATGCAGAGCACTTCCAAGTATCCAGCATAGATGACACTACATCTGACTTGTGAGTTCATTTCACCTCATGGTGAAATTCTATAAGATATCCTAAAATTTTGAAATGTGAAAATGATCTTCCTTCTCCCTTCTGAAACTATATTATTAGGAGCAAACAAACGCCTTGTACGGTCAACATACTTCGCCAAAATAGGAATAAATGGACTGTTGATTACATATTGTGTCTGTGTGTGTGCTTGGTGTGGAGAGTCTGTGGAGAAAATGACTCGTAGTTTTTCTCTACTTAGGATAAAACTCATTTCCAGTCAATTTATGAGATTATGTACTTTAATCAATACATTGTTCAATGTTCAACAGAACATAACGAATCAATCAAAGAAAAATATATTTATTAATTTTATCAGCTTACCATAATATAAGGATTTGAAAAGTTTTCAGGTTTCAGTTTCTAAAAAATAACAAAATATAAACAAAACAATCATAATAATAATGGTGAAACTACTGACTACTATTGAATAGTTAAGTAGTATATATGAAGTGGTAAAAAATAGTAGGGAATACAAGCAGTATTAATCTTTATGCGGGCATAAGAAGTCGAAGTTTCAGTTGATTAGTGGAAAAGAACATCAGTCACCATATATGATTTTTTCCGCATTTTATTGATAATCTTGTACGGGTTTTTTATGAGAAGTCCTGCATAACCAGTGAGGTTCATCACCTTGATGTCGGATTCTCCTATAAAACCAAGAGGTTCAGGTTTTCATCCTTCATTGGGTCATAGGTGTGTAACAAGTTAATGACGGCTGTGCCTACTCGTTTCCGATGGTTCTCCAACTGATGTCTGTTTTTAGATAGGAAGTGTAGACTAACGTTTTGTCCACTAACATTTGACTATCTATAACGATGACTGCACATTTCCCTTCAATTCATCCATTCTTATTCGTTACGTAACGGTTGCATTTCATAGTGATAATAATAATTGACTTTATTCCAAAACAGTACTTGTGTGTGATACAGAATGGAATTCTCAGCATTCCATTACACTACTGCATCCAGCCAGTACATTAACAATAAGTAAAATTTTACATAGATTATGGGTAATCTCTGTTAGTTTCGACAACAACATATTAGCATATCGGTAGCAAAGCCAAAAGTGAACAGAATGTTTGAAGGTGTTTGAAAAGTAGATACTAACTAGTATATTTACTGGCGTAAGCTGTAACACAAAGGTCGAGATATACAGAGTGTGAGAGAACGAAGAATGTTTTAAGTAGAGTTTGTAAGGAAGAGAGAAACAAAACAGCACACAACGACAAAAAAACGTTGTGCCTATAAATGATATGAATTGGAAAGACGAGATCCAGTTGTTCTACTGACTATTTAATAAGTTAGCTATAGGTATCACGCCTAATGCTTTCTTGATCGCACAGAACATGAGCTAGGTGGGGTTTGGTTGAGTTTTTGTACTTTTTAGTGCGAGCATATAGTTTTCTATATAGGCATCTGGTTCTGCCTGATGAGATACAAGGGGAGAGTTGTGAATGAAGAGGTTGGTGGTGTGAGTTAGACAGGATGGATTTAGCCCATTTTTCACATGAGTCCAAGTGTCTGTCAACCAGAGTATTAACCAGCTGGTTAAGTGGCATTCTGTGGCTTACTCTGCTGACAACCTTTAACACCTTATGTAATAAGATATAGTCCTTCTTCAGTAGCCAGCCCTGGGAAAACTAAGTGGAACAATAGGGAATAATAGGCAGGATCGTAGGAGTAAGGGTTGGGTTACACCACTATGTCTTAACTTCTTAATGTAGAAGCTAAGACGGAATATTTTTTCCTTAGAAATCATCAAGATATGAGACGACCAGGAAAGATCAGCAGATGGAATGACGTCAAGATATTTAATTTCCGGCTTGGTTTCTATTTCAGTGCCATCTATATTGCAAACCTCGTGGTCCATATGCTTAGCTAATCCAGTGCTACGGTTTTCTTTCCAAAAATGTGAGATCAAGTCAAAAAGTTTGGATAATCAAAAACAAAACGTTGTGTGTGTCGCGAATTTTACACCATAGTGACGCGTTTACTTTCGTTTGTCAAAAAGTCCACTGAATCATTTGCAACTGGGTTTTTGAGAAAAGTAACTCAAATTTTTTTAATGTCAGAGTCATTTTTATAGGAATAAGTTTTACCAAGTGTTTTGAACAGCATAGATAGTTTCTGTGATGATTAAAACCTGCAGTTGACTATTATTCACATGAAACGGAAGGCTCCTGTAGAGGCGGTCACTTGTGAAATTCATGAAGTGGTACTTTTCACAGTGAGAATTATTTGGAAGTTTAGAGATACTAGGATCCATTCTAGCCGACACTTTCTTTGCGAAAGTAGAAAATGGGCCGTTGAAAGATGTTATTGATGAATTTGAATTCTATTGTCAGTACATGGAAGGTAGACATTTTTGATTATGAAAAATGAGGATGAAGCAAAGAGCATCCTGGATTAAATTTCACGAGGTTCATTCTGCAATAAATTTTACTATTAAGAAACAAAAAGATTCAAGTATTTAATTTCTAGACGTCCTTATGACCAGAAAAGAGGATGGCACAATAAGAAGAAGTGTATATAGAAAACCCCACATCAATTGGTCAGTATACTCATTTTTTCAGCTTCGTGCCTTTGATGAAATACAAACGCAATCTACTTGGATGAATGTCTTTATGAGGGACTTAATAATATTAAACGGTTGCTGTGTGAAAACGGTTATCCGGAGAAGTTTATTGATATGAAAGTGAACCTAAAATCAAAGCAGCCGAATGTACTAACAGTTCCTTAAAAGGTCTTATTTTTACATATTCATTTCTCACGCCTTAGAAATGTGATAATTTGAGAATTCAGTGCCGTTGAATTGTGACTTGTCTATAAAACCACCGGTGTTTTGCCTAACTTCGCGAAGAATAATGTCAACGAGGCAGCTCTCAAAGTCATTCACCACATACCAACAAATCCTAAATTCGCCTTAAGAGTTTGACTACTAAATATTGCTGAGGCTGGCTGTTGGGATCCACATTAAGAAACCTAATTTATGTGTCCAAAAGAAGCTAGTTCAGATATCGTCCTTGCCTTGGCCACCAAGGTTCTAATGATCCTCATTTCTTGTAGAAATTTCCCTAATTTTAGTCGATATTCTATTTGCTACTATATTCTTCTTATTATGCTTAGAATTTATGCATGTTTAATGAACCGTAATTCCATTGTGATCTTACTTTACAAATCGATATTATTTAAAAGACACTAATATTGTAATTGAGAACTTTTCCAGAATATTCTATGTATATAAGAATGTAGAGGTAATTATAGAGCCAGAAGAGGAAATTATCGAAAGGGGGATATTCTTTGCTCAATTGTTTTGTGTTTAAGTTTTCTTGGGCCCTGTGTCTACTGTTTTGTTGGTAGTGCAGCAAAGAGATCTAGAAGTATGAGCGTCTAATACAAAACCATCAAATGACTATGACTTTAGTGGTTAATTACATCGCGAATAATGTTTCAAATATCGCTATCAATTATTTTGAACATCTCCACATCAGTAGACAGATGGCCTCATCTAGTAATTCCAGTTAATCTGTAGACATTACAAAGGCAATATTGTGGACGGCTTGTATGCTGCATATATCTCATTTGTAGTCATAAAATTTTTCAGTATACATACAAACACTAAGGAAAGCAGTTTTCAACAGTGAAATAATAATAATTAGCATATTGATCACCGCGCAACAATTTCATCCGAAAAAGTATGCTACTATTTAAATTTTCAGTAGTGTAAAACATTATCCATCAAAACACAGGTTACCTTCAAATTGAACTGACGCACACCCACTCCAGTCCATACGAAATACGCGTCATCTTGTAAAGCATTAGATCGTGCAGTAATATCCAAATATTTCTAAAATGAAAAAAGGCAGTGAAATAAATTGTCATTCATAGACACAACCTGTGAGTTCATTACTTACAAGCACTAGTTTATTCTTGATGTTATTCAACATTTGCGCTATCCTTACAGTCAAAATTATTATTGTATCCTTTAGTTCCTAGAGGAAAATAGGGCTTCAACTGTGCACCTCCATTGCCTTCTGTTTTCTGACAACTTTTTCACCCCGCTCCAGGTCTGTCCACATGCTTTCATCTCCTCCTCGCATGACCTCCTCCAAGTCACCCTTGGACGACCAACTCGCCGCCTCCCTTTCGGGTTCCACTCGAGGGCTTGTCTAGTGATGTCACTTGATGGTTTCCTCAAAGTATGGCCAATCCATCTCCATTTCTTCCTGCCTATTTGTTTCACAATCGGTTCCTGCTGGGTTGGTTCGCTCATTTCCAGAGATCCCTGTTGCTGATCTTTTCTGGCCATCTGATCTTGAGTATTGAGCGGAGACAGCTGTTAATGAAGGTCTGAAGTTTGTTTGAGATGCTCTTTATGACGCGCTGGCCAAGTCTCTGATCCGTATAGTAGCACTGACTTTACATTGGAGTTGGAAATCCGGATGTTATTTTTGATGCTGAGTGCTGTTGACCTCCACACAGATTTGAGAGTAATGAAAGCTTGTCTTGCTTTTCCGATTCTGGCTTTGATATCCTCGTCAGTTCCGCCTGTAGTTGAAACGATGCTTCCCAGGTAGATAGGTAAAGGAGGTTGTTTCTTTCAGGTTCCTCCCATTTATGCTGATCGTTGTCTGTTGTTTTTTGTTGCTGTTGGCCAGGAATCTTCATCACCTCTGTTTTATCTGTGTTCACTTGAAGTCCTATCTTTGATGCTTCTTCTGCCAACTTGTTACTTTTCACTTGCATATCTTCCAGTTTGTGAGAAATCAGACATATATATCATCGGCGAAGTCAAGATCCTCCAAGTCTTTTGTGTGAGTCCATTTTATGCCTGTTCCCTCGTTGGTTGCCGCTGTCTGTCGCATTATCCAATCTACTGCAATCAGGAAGATCATTGGTGATAGTAAACAGCCTTGTCTTATTCCGTCTTTACTTCGAAGGATTCCCTAGGTTTCCCGTTGTGGATTACTTGGCATGCAGTATTGTAGGATGCATTTAGGATGTAGTTAGTATGTAAAAACCTATTTCAAAAGACGTTTAGCTCTCTATTTCTTCTACCATTTTCAATGCTTCTGCTGGGATTCCATCTGGTCCTGCTGCTTTCCCAGCTTTTAGCATCTTGATTGCATTCAGGACTTCTGATTTCGTCGGGAGGTCGATGTTCACAGGTAGTTCTGCTTCCGTTGTTGGCATCGTTGAGCGTGTTGTGGGTGGCGGACGATTTAGAAGTCGTTTGAAGTGTTCAGCCCAGTGTTTCCTTTGTTCCACCTCTTTGGTGATTGACTTCCCATTGTCGTCCTTCACTGGCTTAATCTGTGTCGAACTTTTGCCCGATAGGTGCCTAGTTGTTTGGTAGAGTGTGGCGAGGTCTCCTTTGCCTGCAGCTTGTTGTGCTTCACTTGCCATGGTTTCATAATATTTTCTTTTGTCTTCCCTGGCACTCTTCTTCACTCTTTTGTTCAGTGTATTGTAGCTTGCATTCAACTCCTGTTTTTGTTGCTCGTCGGTGCACTGGATAATCTTTTGTTTCACTGTCCTTCTCTCTACTATTAGTTTCCAAGTGTCCGTAGTGAGCCACTGTTTGTCCTGTCTCTTTTTTCTGCCTAGAACTTCCATGCAGGTTTGACTCCACACCGTTTTCACGTTTTCCAAGTGCTTTTCGACGCTGACCTTTTCTCTGGTTTTGATTTGTGTCTCGGCTTTGTCCTTTGTGCTTGCAATGAAGATGTCCTTTGTAGCCTGGTCCTTCAGCTTTTGAGTGTTGAACTCAGCTTGTGGTCTATCTGCATCTCTTGTTTTCCTGAAAGCTTTTAATTTGATTTGGATTGTCCCTTGTGCGAGATAGTGGTCTGAGCCAACGTCTGCTCCTCTTCTTGCTTTTGTGTCCAGTAGGCTGCGCCTCCACTTCCTTGAGATTGAGATGAAGTCGATTTGGTTTTTGGTTTGCCCATCTGGTGACACCCATGTAGCCTTGTGGATATCTTTGTGCTTGTATACACTACCACCGATCACTAGTTCGTTGAGGGCGCAGAAGTTGGCGAAGAGTTCTCCATTTTCATTCATTTCTCCGAGAGCTTCTCTACCCATGATGAGTTCTCTTCCTGTGATGTCTGGTCCTAGCTTGGCGTTCATGTCTCCCATTAGTATTTTAATGTCGCCAGCTGGAGTATTGTCCATTGTTGCCTGTAGTTGTCTGCAGAATTCTTCTTTCTTTTCGAGGTCTGCGTTGTTTGTGGATGCATAACATTGTATGATTGACACTTTCCTTCCTTTGGAGATAAGCTGCCAGACGCGATTCATTTGAGAAGGTTAAAGTTTATCCAATGAAGTAATACTTTGTTGAAGTGCATAAGTTACCATTTCTGTGCATAAAACATTTTAAAGAATTGGTGCTGGGTTCGAATTAAAATCGGAATAGCATCACAGGCTGGTATATTTGTACATTCAACCAAATAGTTTGAAAAGGATGAATGCAGTGTTCATCCTAAAATTGTAATGCTATCCATTCTCGAGTAAACGGCATCGAATTAATCCCCAAAGGATCTACAAACAGTCCATACTAAGAGTAGAGAAGTGAACAAGCACTGGGCATTCATGTTCCTGTACGAAAAATAGTTCTCATAAACGACCAACAAAATAAATTAAGGTCTTATATATATACCTAAAAAAGTGTCTCAGAAACTCTCAGTTAGTAATTTCAACCCCTGTTGGTGTGGACTGTGTAATAAGAGAATTTGGGAACATCAGTTGGTAAACATGGACAGGTATAACCACAGTTTTGATTCAAATAAGTTGAAAGTTCAAGGATCAGGTCCCAGTGGCTCAATGGTCTACGAGCTCGCTAGCCTTGTAATCAAAAGGTCCTGGGTTCTAACCCTCTGTGGTGGGTACGTACTGCTGAAGGGTCCCAAGCTAGGTGGACGAAACAGCCCTCCAGTTCTCCCAGGTGATTCTTCAGTGGTTCTCTAACTGATGTCAGTTCATGATGAAATCCTCCATGCAATCAAACAAAATCCCTACAAAACCATACTTGAAAAGTTCTAAAAGTCATTGAGAAGTCATTGGGAGGTATAGTTTCTCAATTAGTATGGCATTTCAACATAGACGTATCACGGAATCCGGCTACGGCATCCTATCTTCATAGAATACTGCATCAATGAATGAGCTCAACGAAGTTTTTGTTGAGAAATGACAACAGATGGGGAGGGTGGGGTGGAGAATCATTAAAAATTAAGGAGAACTTTACGGTTGTGTTCCTTTCATAGTCTGGATCTCTATCTCATTTGAGATTTAACATCGAATCTTTAGATGGTTAGGTAAGCCTTTTTGGTCATTATAGCCAGAAAGCTGTGAAGTTTGACATTTGAGGCTGATTGAATCAACTCTATTAACAGAAAGGATTACGTGGGTGTAGAGAACTTTAAAAGTAATAACGGAATAGCGGTGATTAAGGCGAATGAGTAACCGTCAGTTAATAGATTACAATACAGGAATTAACTGACAACCAACTAACAAGAAATAAGTTATATGCATAGATAAATCCACCTTAATTTAGTGGTATAGGTAAAATATATTTACTCAATAATTAAAGGTCATAAACATAAATAAGGTGATGTAAGTGAACCATATTTATCGATAGTCTCAGAAGCATCCTAAGTCGGAAAACATTCTTTTCGATTTTATCCAAAGCAAGTACTGATCAAGTTTTCTAGTCTGATGTGAAACGTCCGCATCAAAACATCGAGATAAAGGGGACACCAGATAACTAAATTTCAGAGAGTGAAGATTTTATTATCTTTTAAAACTTGAGTACTGACATATGATAAACTGATAAATAACTCTGATCAAGAAGATTTTTAGCTCATGTGAAATTTTTTTTTAGTCGTGGTTGTGTTTTTTGAGTTAGCTGGTTCAATTGTGAAGTTTTTCTTATCCTTCCAGAGAACTTTATCATTGCCTATCTCAGTACGAAGTGTAGTGATTTGTAATTCTCCAACCAGATGTACTGTACTACACAGAACCACTGGACATCACCATCACCATCCCAGTGAATGGATTCACCCAATAACCTGAAGATCTTGAGTCCGATTGCTGATGTAGTCATTTGTGTTTGTGCGGATGAAGGGTCCCAGAATTGGAAGAAACAACTGTTCAGTGTTCCTCGGGATTCTATGAATGACATCAGCTGGTGGTCTAACTTGAAGTCAATCAAAACAGTACTTGAAAAGTACAATTTATAGTTGGTTTAAGATTAGAATTAGAGCAGCAACATCCAGCGCCAATCACCAGCAACGGAGGGATTTGAAAGAGGTTACTTCATTCACTTATCATCTAGGGAGCATTGTCTCAACTACAGGCAGTCGGAACGGACGAGGATGTCAAATCGAAAATCGGGAAGGCGAGAAACACATTAATCAACCTGAAACCAATCTGGAAATCTTCGTCACTCAACTCAGCATCAACAACAAAATTCGGTCAGATTTTCAATACAAACAACGTCAAGTCAGTTCTCCTATACGGGTCAAACAGAAACTTGGCGGGTAATTGTCTTCGCTTTATACTGAAGATCAGTCAGATGACGGGGCCGGAAAGAATCACCAACAAGAAACTATGGGAAGAAACAAAACAAGAACCAATCGTCAACCAACAAATATGCAGGAGCAAGTGGATTGAGATGGATTGGACACTCATTGAGGAGGCCGGTAGATGACATCGCGCGCCTCAGGCCATTGATCGAGTGGAACCAGGCCGAAAGGAAAGCGGCGAGTGAGACGTCAGTTCAAGGGTGATATGGAGGAGATGGTGTGAAGAGGAGTTGAAACAGAATGGACTAACATGGATGCAGGTGAAAAGTAGATCAGAAGACAGAAGTGGCAAGTGGAGACGTGCAGTTGAAGCCCTATGTTCCACTAGGAACCCAAGGGAACAATAATAATAATTAAGATTATAATTGAGTGAAGAAGGGGATTATAGACCAAAATAAAAGTTAGATTCAGGGTTATAAATATTATTAGGGAAATAGTGAAGTCTTTGGTTTTATTATATTTGATGTTACAATGGAACAATAATTAGTTGTCATTACTGAACAGTCCCGTGCTGTGTGCTACTGACAACGATTGGTGCATTAGTCTGATCAATAGACGACAGACGGATAGAGCTGCAAACAAGTGGAAGTATTAAAACTAGCGATCAATGTACAGAAAGCGTGAAGTTGACATAAGAAAGTAGAAAAAAAATGTAACAGGAATCAGGACGCGAATAGTTTGTGAAATTTGAAGTCTCCTTGTATATTATTATTGTTTTCTTTAGTTCCTAGAGGAAAATAGGGCTTCAGTCACGCACGTCTCCATTGCACTGATGACCAACTCAACAGTTCCCTTTCTGGTTTTACTCGAGCGATGGCCTGGCGTGTGATGTTACTCACTTGATGGTTTGTTTTCTCAGAGTATGGCCAATCCAATCCAACTCCATTTCTTTCTGCTTATTTGTTGCGCAATTGATTCCAGCTGGGATGGTTCGTTCATTGCCAGAGATCCATGTTGCTGATTCTTTCTGGCCGGCTATTTGATCTTGAGTATTGAGTGGAGACAGCTGTTGATGAAGGTCTGTAGTTTGTTTACAGTGCTCTTCATTATGCACCAAGTCTCTGATCCGTTTAGTAAGTAGCACTGACTCACTTCACATTGAAGTTGAAAATGCAGATCTTATTTGCATTTTCATGCTGAGTGTTGATTTCCACACAGACTTGAGAGTAATGAAAGCTTGCCTTACTTCCCCGATTCTCGCTGCTTTGATATCCTCATCAGTTCTGTCCGCCTGTAGTTGAAATGATGCTACCCAGGTAGGTAGGTGGATAGGTAAAGGAGGTTTCTTCTTTCAGCTTTCTCCCATTTATGCTGATTGTTGTCTGTTGTTGTTGTTGCTTTTGGTGGTGTTGGCCAGGAATATTCATCATCTCTCCTCGTAAGGGATGTTGGTTATATTTGAACGATTCGAAAAAAGGGGAACGAAACTATATCTGAAACTATGTATGACATAAGGACGAGGTTGAAGTGTACAGATCCAGGGGGTGTGAGAGCAAGACTGACCCTGAGTTGACCAATTAGAATAACCGTTTATTCCCATAGAAAAATACAGATCCTATCCCTACCTCCAATCCTAGCCTTAATCCTAACTCTAACGAGTTGTCAGCACATTATCCAAACAGTACTTAAAAACAAGATAGAGACAAAATTTCCACATCGATTCGTATATAACATTCACATGGTGGCTACATAACAGTGGTAAGTCCTGTTATCCAACTAATGGTATGCGTTCAAGGTCATTGAGGTTATATTTGCACACTTTGGCCAATATTTTCTGACTTGGCCATATACAGAACATAAGAAGCCTAAACAAATCGAATCAACGCAGAAATCTTACCAAAACATTCTCCTTTACATCAGCAAGTGTAGCTATATTCACCGCGTAACCTAGCAAGACGGAAGGGAAACACGGAAAATTATTATTACTATTGTTGCTAAGGGACATGAGTAAAAGCATGAAAATATGTTCGTCTTCTTGATAAATGTTTGATAATTTGCTGTATAAAAATAAACCTTAGTAAACATCAATAATTGCAACCCAATACACAATGAAATCCATGGTTACTTTGGTTACTTCAGGAGCAGTTGCCACCAAAGGACTTCAACTCGACCTCCGTATACAGAATGATAGTGTGACTAATCACTCATTATCTTTCGTTTTGAAAACATGTTCCTTATATATCTTTTATCTATGACTCGACCTTACTGTGTGAAAAACACGTTCATAGATTTTTTAAATTATATTCTGAGATTATCTAGGATGTACACAGTTGAAGAGAATCCACAAAATAGCATGAGATCCTGCAAATATATAATTGTTCATTCTTTTTTTTGTTTATTCATGGTTTCATATTTTTGGTATTGATGACACACTATTGATGACTTTTATCTGCCTGTAATGACGTCATTAAGCATGGCAGTCATTGATTTATTTCATCTAGTTTAAAGAATTTTTTTCACCATGGTTACATATTGCATATTAGATAAGCGATGAAACAAGCGTGTTATTGTAAATCAAAACATATAAAGAAATCATCTTTCATCACCATGGTTACGATTTTAATAGGCAATATGTCATAAAATATTTAAAAATTTATTTGAAAAATATTTTTCTTTTTAGAAAAAAAATGATATTGATTACCTCTGTTAACGCATGCAAGTTCTTCGACATATTCTTCAGCTGATGAATGTTGACCAAGTAGGTAGGTGAATACTCGAACATTTTTCTAATAAGAAAGAGAAATTTTCACTAGGTGACAGGTTCACAAACGTGCATGCGCGCACACACACACACACAAATGCATAAAAAACATTAGGCCAAAGGAATATCTTATTTGAACAGTTGATAGGTGGACGTGATATCCGGCTGGTTATCGACCAAAAGACGTGTGTGCTGATCGGCAGTCTGCTTCGTCCTCTTTTATGGCTGGCTGTGAGACCTGGCCATTGAGAATGGAAAACATGAAAAGACAGACTAGCTAGCTGTCTTCGATCATAGGTGCCTGCGTTCTACTTCTCGTGTGAACTGATATGATAAGGTGAGCAGTATTCAGGTTAAAGCGTCCAGTAAGTGCCATGTAAGGAGGGGAAATCGATCGATGAGGTTGTCAAGTTACATCGATTGAGATGGTTAGGATATGTGTTACACAGGTATCTTTAACCATCGCCTTCCTCGACGGGCAATGTTGGCTGACTGACATAGGATGGATCAGGTTGGAAAAAAGTGTCAGTGTTGGTCAAACCAAAATATGGATTCATCAGTCAATCAAATCTACAAAAGTTAGTTTAAGCCACGTAGGAAGGTGTAGACTTCCTTACTGGTTTGGGTCTTCGAGACGATAAACACCAATGGCTGGAGACTATTGGTGATATGGTTCAAAATCCTCGTTGTCAATGGCTGGGGCAGATGCATCCACTCCTTGTGACTTGTAATTTCCAATGAAACTGTATTGTTCTTTGTTATTACTATTCTTTTTGCCTCATATCTCTGTTAACTGTCCCTAATTTGGGGTTATTTTTACTTTTTTCTCTTGGTTTGTGGTCTACAAGGAGGGAGTATGGCGACTTGAACTGCTGCACATTGGTGCGAAGTTCTATGTTGAAATCAGTCAGTCAGTCAGTCAGTCAGTCAGTCAGTCAGTCAGTCAGTCAGTCAGTCAGTCAGTCAGTCAGTCAGTCAGTCAGTCAGTCAGTCAGTCAGTCAGTCAGTCAGTCAGTCAGTCAGTCAGTCAGTCAGTCAGTCAGTCAGTCAGTCAGTCAGTCAGTCAGTCAGTCAGTCAGTCAGTCAGTCAGTAAGTCAGTCAGTCAGTCTTAGTCTAGCAACATGGTGTTATTTAGTTTATATTAGCTATATTAGCAATGTAATCTGAGGTGTGCACTTCGTCCAGTTTGTGACTCATCAGTCGAATATAGCTGTATTCTCAGGAAATAATGAGGATGATGATGATGTTCTCATTGAGACTCGAAACACAGCAGTTATGGTTTAAAATGCGAACCGAATAAGAACATTTTAATCTTGATGGAATCATGGAAGCATCTGCCTAGAAGATGACATCCTCAATAGAGAGAGACCCAGTAATTCGGTCTAATACAAAATAACTTTAGAAAAAATGACAGTTTAGACACATACCGTTAGTATGCACTAATAAATCACGTATTTATTGAGACTGAAAGGGACCTTTTGTCTCTGAGATGACTAACCATAAAGCAAGAAAATTATGAGTTTGGTTAAAGGATTTCATCATGAGGCGACGTTGGTTAGAGAACCATTGGAAAGTGAGCAGTTTCCTCCATCTTAGTTTTGGACTCTTCATCAGTATGCACTCACACAGCGGGATTCGAACCCAGGACCTTCTGGTTACAAGGTGAGCTAATAGACTCGTAGACCTCGTACTCCAATGGTTCTCTAACCAATGTCAGCTCATGATGAAATCCTGTAACCAATCAATCAAATCCCTACAAACCAATACTTGAGATATGAGTTTATTTGTAGAAGAGGAGGATAATATGTAGAATAAATGAAAATCGATCTTAGAGTCCGCAGTATTAGGAAGTAAAAAAAAGGGTTGAAATCAACAACATGAGTAAATACTTTGCCTTTAAAAGTATCAAAGGTTTTTACTCCATTTATTATGATATTTTTATTCGTAAGCTTTATTGCTTCGACTTAAAAATTGAATGAATGTTATCAGGAAGAGAAACACAATAGTGACATCTGTCTGACAAGAATTCATTGGCTGTTATATGACCTTTTGAATTATCCTTGAATGATGATGACTAGTGATCCACAGTGTCTGAAGGACTCGGACCTATCACCCATGCTTTCAAACGCCAAAGTGTTATCCACTGGGCTCCACGGTGGCGAGATTAGCTTCTTGTACACCAGGTATTAGTTATCATTTCTTTAGATTAATCGATTTTCATTGAACTGAAAGACTCGGTTTCCGTTGATATGTCATCTCGTGTCACAGAAGTTTCGACGATGTCTGAAGATAAATGTGATGTTATTCGTTTGCTAGTGGCCAGCAGTGAAATCTGCAATATGCGTGTTTTCTGATGTAGAACTCATCAGCCATCTGCACCTGCATCCCCTGAGCAAGAAAATGATGATACCTACTGTTGTCTTCTTATGCATGATGGTTGGAGATTACTGAAAGTTTTTAGTGTCCATGGATCATTTAATTGTAAATATTTGGGAACATAGGTCACATAAATGGGACCCATTATAATTAATCAATAAGTGAGTCAGTGAACTATTGCTAGACTCATTAACATTTTTTAACTCATAGAAAATTCCCATTGTAAAATATTGAAAATCAAAACAAGTAATTCATTGAAGAGACTGTTTTCAACGAATTTATCATCAAGCTGCACAGTCGTATATATATATATATATATATATATATATATGTTTTTAAGAAGTTATATCCAGTGAGGGAATTGAATCTTAGGTGTGAATGCATAAGATAATAATAATAATAATAATAATAATAATAATAATAATAATAATAATATGAAGTTCAATTAAAACTAAAATGTTTGTGATTATACTCATAGTTAAATGTCAAGTGCCAAAGCATATTAATGTCATATATAGAATAATTCGTAGGATGGATAGAACTTGAAAAAGGGTGTGCAATTATAGGATCAGTAGACAAATCGAATAAAATAGAAACGTTACGTAATATTGTGTGGAATTTAATAGTATAGAATTTATCGTTGAATAAAAAGGGATTCATTTAGAATGACAAGTGGAACATTTGTCTCCTTCGTGGAATAAATTCATTATCCCCAGACGATCTTAGTCTTATAGACTACCATCTTGAATAGAAATTGTAGATGGGTACACTTGGAGATGCCAACTAACAGATACCCCAACCAATAATTTACTCAAACAAAACATACTACTTAAAATTTTTGAGTAGAATAACATTTAGGTCAAAAATATCTTCTCAGTAGTAGCTGTCATTTCAATATTAGTGAAAGTCAAAGGAAAATAAATAAGCCGCCTTTCACCTACCTGGGGGTTGAATTCTTTGAACAGGTGTTCATATGAACCTGGTGCACTGTCAGTAATAATCATAACCATTCGATTACATTTACGATTTGCAGGGAATTTTTCATCTGTCTGTTTGATAAAAAAAAATCAAATAGGCATTTAATATTACAGAAAAGTATGATTTGTCTTTCAGATATGTAGAATTTAAATTTAAATAACCATTGGTTAAATGTATACATGTTATATGAACTGAATTTTCAACGTCCTAGACAGAAGGCAAGAGGAAGTCAAAAGATCCTTTATTGAGAAAATCAAGAGGTATTGATTGGTTTTTTATGTACATAATTATTAGTGTTTTGTTAGCAGTGATACAATGTCTTCTGATTGGTTATTTTCTTGCTGAAGGTTATTCTGTACCACTTATGACCGTTTCTTAAAACGTTAAGCCATATATATGCGAATCGTATTTGCACACGTTAAGTCTGTTGTGATTGGTTGGTGAGTTCCCTAAGGCCAAGCTTTGTTATTGCCTTTTTTTCGCTCATGACCCCGATTCGGGAGGTAACACTGACGAAAATTTTTGTCTACCAATTTTGGCTTACAGCTAGCTCGCACCACAACGCCAATGAGAATAATTTTGAGCCATGTTGCCAAAAATTTACAGTCATCAATTTTTAACGTGTCAAGGAGCATAACCGAACAATCCAAACCTTCCACTGTGATTTCAATCAACAGTAAAAGACTACATAGAATGGTCTCATAGGTTCATGCGAACCCCCATTCAGCTTTAGATTTTCTCCAGGTGAGTCATCTTTTAGTTGTTTTATCAACTTTCCACTATACATTAGCCGGGATAGACTGAATCAATTTGAAACGAACCACTTATCTTCGGTTTTAGTGAACTGTGAACTGAATGGTTCAATGGCGAAGATTACATTGTTTATCTAGACAACATAATCAGTGCTAACATCAGTTTGAAGTTATTGGATAATCTAAGAGTGTTTTGATTGGTTTGTCAAACCTCAAATCATAAATATGAGATTTATAAAGGAACATATGAGGTGTATTCATTTTTACTGAATAAAAGATCCCATTAGAAATGAATGAACAAAGAATACTCCTTTTGATTACGCCTTCATCATCGGGCTCTACACTTATATAGACATAATAATGAATGAATTAGTGTTATGAACAACAATAATGTTGTTGAAATAACATCGAATCTGTAACAATATCATTGAATTATAGTTCGATAGCATCAATATAACACTATACTGAATATCAGAGAATTTAGGAGAGATAATAATGATACAAATTCATGGATTTATAGTCTCTACTGAAGGTCAGCCAGGGCAGTAGTAGTGGCTGGACTGGTTTATTCTGTATACAGAGCACTGGTTGTCTCAGGCGAATAGCAATAGCCCCTGCTGTTTGGAGTATGCGGTACTTGGATGTTTTTGGCAGTTTGTTTGCTACCCGATGGATTGTAGAGAAGGATTCTTCAGTGTTGGTTTTGTGGTCGGTAGGTTTGGACCAGATGGTCTAATATCGAACTGTTGATGGTATTCACTACATCTTTACTTAGCCATACTGGGATATGTTCCCAAAAGTGGCTACGAGAAATTAAGTCCCTAGAACAACAGTCGATATAACTCACTCCTCCACAAGCGCAATTGGTACATACAGTTGGAGGTGACTAGTCTAGGTACTTCATTTTTCAATCGAGGAATCACCATCGGTTGTGTAGAGAATAAGACGTGTAGTTTGTCAGCCTTAAAAGTTCTTTGAACTGATTTTCTTAATTTTTTCGTAATTACTTCACTTGTTTACAGATAGTGAGTAGTCCTTTTCCGCCGCTTTCTTTGTCATGTATTTCTTGATAAATATTTCGGGATAGCCATTTTCGATCAAAGTATCATATACAACGCCTAATTCATCTTCAATTACTTCTTCTGAGCACATAGCTCTAACTCTGTGTGGCTGAAGGTCTTCACTAAATTCCTTTATTGGATATAGGTATCTTCAATGATGTCCTGTGGCGGATCCTCTTTTTGTCTTATGAGGCAATTATGACACTCTTTTACAATACGACGTTGAAGTTGGTGATTTAGATCTGCTTCGCTTCAGTTCCTTATTGGTGAGCATCACTTCTTATATCTCTTCTTTGGATTTTCACATATCATACTGATACATTTGAAATTGGAATAAAGTAGCTAAGCGACATTATTACACAATGACTAGTTGCATATGTCCGAACCAAATTCACTTTTAACATTTTGAAAAAAATTGAGCATTGGGTGTGTGATATTCATTAGAATAAAGGTTTTTTTGTATTTCCTAATGAATGAATGAATGAAAAACAAAACGATATTGTTTTCGTTTTTGCTGACGTTTCGTTATTTCATGATGCTCCTAATGGCTTTATCAAAGTAGTATTAATAAACCGGAATTTACAAAGTCCACTCAGCTTGCATTATATAACAACTTTTTATCTAAGTTATTCCTCTGATTTGCCTGACTGGTGGTAATAATATCTTCCATATCACTGGTATTTGCATTGAGTCATTTCTGTTGCATGCGTTGTGTTGGGTGTAGACTCGATGAACCGGGTAGGATTCAGTAATCAATCTCTTTCGCTCTCCACCCGCTTATATAACTTTTTAGAATTTTGATTTTGTCTCACCTGGCCTTTTTTGTGTGGTTGTGTGCTAATGCATGCATGCATTCAGTGCAACTGCTCAACTTCTTTTTTTTTTACTAAATTACTCCTCTGCCTTTCAGGGTCAACCATTGCAAGGTATTTTGTAAATTATAATATTCTGAATAAAAGCAGGAATTCGAGTGGCATTCAAACCTACAAAAGACCCGGTGGACGCAGTTAAACAAAATAATATAATTTACAAAATACCCTACAATGACTGTCAGTTAGGTCAACTACATGGGTCAAACTAGTAGATGGGGAAGGGGGTAGTCAGACTGTCGGGAAGATAAGCAATTTAGAAAAAAAAAGAAGCTGAGCAGTTGCACTGCACACATGCATTAACAGACAATCACACATTAGGGTGGGAGAGGGTTAAAATCCTAAGAAATAATATAGGTAGGTGGAAAGAGAAAGATTGATTACGGAATCCTGCCTGGTTAATCGAGTCAATCTACACCCAACACAACGCATGCAACAGAAATGACTCAATGCAAATACCAGAGATATTGGAGATATTACTACCACCAGTAAGTCAAATCAGAGCAGGATAATACATAATCGTAAAATTCTATTTCAGCCCACATGCATTATGACATTCTAACAAGGTACTTATTATTTGGAATTGATAGTGTTCTCTGAGCTCCTTGGTTTAATTGCGGAGCTTTCATCGTCTTTCTGGACGACATCTTCAGCGCAGTATTTAGGATAAAGTGAAATGATTTAAATTTCTTCATGAGTCTCCCGGAAGACGATGAAAGCTCCGCAATTAAACCAAGGAGCTCAGAGAACACTATCAATTCCAAATCATCCACCTGAGTTACAAATCTTTTCTATTATTTCAAGGTACTTATTATGACTATGAAAACACTCGTCTTATTTCCCATCTGATTGCATTTGAACATACATATTTATATTGATTTTATGCAATCTAATGTCTAGTCATCAATTTCACTCATGTTTATAAATGAAGTAAAACGTTGTGTGAGTGAATGACTTGATATGATTATGAGTGTCAATAGTTTGTGCTCGAAATATCATCAATTAATATTACTGTACAACAACACTGTGTGATTTTATCGAAATAAAATCTTATCCATAAAGGAAGAGTTTGCTCGCTAACGATTATTCTAAATTAGTTCACATTAGTCTTCATTTCTCATGTTTTTGCAGTTTAGTTCTTCTTTCCAGTGCTTAAAATTTTTGCGAGGGTCGTTACTACTTACAAAATTCTGTCAGTAGTATACGCTAAACTACTACTAATAATTTCATAGAGCTATCAAACGTGGAACAGAAAATAAATGAATAAATAAATAAAATTACCTTGTTGAATAGCGCGAACACCTCTGTAATTGCATTTTCATATGAAGCTGTTCCATTTGGACTAAATTTTCGAAAGTTTTTAATCATTTTCTATTAGTTGAATGAAAAACAAAAAAGATGGGCAAGCGTAAGATTGCAAGGAAAAAAACAAACAAACAATATTTAACCTTCTAAAAACACTTTTTATCGGATAAAATTCAGAATTATAGTTGGACTACTCACTGAATAAGTAAAGTTGTTTGCAAATGTTGGCTTGGCAGGGATTTGATCTGCTCGAAGTTAGATCACAGAGTGATATCAGTTAGAGAATCACTGAGGACCGGCGAGTACTAGATAGATTGTTTCTCCACTGGTTCCTTTAGTGGTCTAACAATAAGTCGATTTTGTCTCCGAAGTTGAGAAGTCTAACTAATGATACTGGTCTTTCTATCTCGGCGAGCTTCTCCTGCAAAGTAGGTCCATATGGTGAAGATCAACCTGTCAGAGACAATGTATTTTTTTGTCTCCTTCGCTTTGCTGAACTATGCGTGTAATTTAAACATGGGAACTGGAACTCTTCCTACAAAAATAAAGTTATCCAACCAGTTGATTTTTATTCTCCACCAACTTTTTTTCCGACTTTTTAAAACTCTTGAATTCCTTTCGAACGCATACTTCATATTTTGATGTGGTTTTGTTCTCTGAGCTGGCTGGATGGTTAGTTTGCGAGGCTTTCATCACCCTACTGGGTGACATCTTCAGCGCATACTTCAATCTATTGAAGTGAGCTTTTAGATTTCTCCACGAGTTTATTAATCATCTCTCCTGGTGACCTTGGACATGATTGGTTGTTTATGTGTGTTTTTACATCTTCTAGGTTACTTGTGTTGGAACTGATTGTTTCTGTGACTTGAACTTTGACCCTTTGTGTCTGAAGTTTCTTTCTTATTGGTTGATAAATTTTGTCTATCTCGATGTGTCTATTGATTGATGATTCACTGGAATGCCAAGCTTCTAAAAATTCCCTAGCATTCTTGTTATTTCCTTTGTCTAATATTTGAACGTTGTCCCAGTCGAACTGATGTCCGTGGTTGTCTGTGTGAAGTGAAATGAGGGAGTGGATATCACGTCTTTTGACAGACAACCACGGACATCAATTCGACTGGGACAACCAACGTTCAAATATTAGACAAAGGAAATAACAAGAATGCTAGGGAATTTTTAGAAGCTTGGCATTCCAGTGAATCATCAATCAATAGACACATCGAGATAGACAAAATTTATCAGCCAATAAGAAAGAAACTTCAGACACAAAGGGTCAAAGTTCAAGTCACAGAAACAATCAGTTCCAACACAAGTAACCTAGAAGGTGTGAAAACAGACATAAACAATCTATCACGTCCAAGGTCGCCAGGAGGAATGATTAATAAACTCGTGGAGAAATCTAAAAGCTCACTTCAATAGATTGAAGTATGCGCTGAAGATGTCACCCAGTAGGGTGATGAAAGCTTCGCAAACTAACCATCCAGCCAGCTCAGAGAACAAAACCACATCAAAGTCATTCACCTGAGCTACAAATCTTCTCTAGCATACTTCATATCCCGTTTTCCAAAGTTTCTGTGTGCATCCTGACTATGACTCACTCATGAAATAATTAACCTTATTATGTAGCATTGACACTATTCGAATAAAGCAAGCACAACAGTGGTGGTTTGTGTAGAATAAGAAGATGTTACCATCATCCCTTATTTCGTTGGCTTCTCATCAGCTCAGCTGCTTGCTTACAGCCTAAATAAATTACGAGGTAGGTTTATGTACAGAAAAGTCTTAACATACTTGCAAATTTCACATGATCTCAGTCGACAGAAGGTTCTGGACTTAATGAACATATACAGTTTTTACACAGATAATTCAAGTTTAAATGAAGCGAATGTATGCGTACAATAATAAAGGGGTTACGTAATAAATATGAGAGGTGCGTAGGATGATTAGTGACTAATAAATTGGCTAACAATATACTGAGTTCAACTCAAATCACAAAAATAAGAGGCAAGTATAATATACAATATATCGAAGTAGGGGTGGGGGTGAGGTTGAAGTCGAAGATTACGTAATCAAATGAAAGAGAGAGAGAGAGAGACAGTGAAGACATCCGGTTACCAGGGTGGGGGAAAGGAAAGACTGATGCTAACTGCTTCTTTCTGAAGACACACACGGATCGGGTTTCGGACGTTTGATAGAGACTGCCTCGGTAAACTTGAGGACAAATGAGCCGTTTTTTCTGTTGATAATTTCAAAAGATTTCACGATTTCCACCTCATGAATTCCGTGTCAGGGAAATGCCTTCTAGTTCCACTATTATCAGAGTTTGTTCCTAGCTGAAGACGTAGGCTTTTCGGCACATGCTCAGGAATTTGGAGGTGTGTCTTTCTTTCTGTTCTCACAATGTAACTACTCCCGCAGATACATGTAAATTTATAAACACAGTTAGAATTAACATGAGAAGGGTAATCTGTTAATTTTCGATTCCGCTACAGAGTAAGTTGTTCCATAGACAGGAACTCACTTATCAGCAGGATAGGCTGTGGCTAGTGACATAATCAATCTCCTGTTGAATGAAGACAGTCTTTTTCTCCACTGTGATTTGTTTGATGCTTGAGGCTTCACACCTTTCATATTTGCAAGTATGTTAAAAATTTTCTGTACATAAACATGATAATAATTTACTTATATTGTAAGCAAGCAGCTGATGAGAAGCCAATGGTTTTATTATGCAAAAGCCGTTGTTCTTGCTTTATTCAAACAGTGTCACTGCTATATAATAAGGTAAATTATTTCTTGAATGAGTCGCAATCAGGATGCACATGAAAACGTTGGAAAATATGGTATGAATTGTGAGTTCTAAAGAAATGCGAAAGTTATAAAGAGTTGGAAAAAATCAAGTTGATGGAGAACAAAATCAACTGGTTGAATAATTTTATTTTGTAAGCAGAGTCCTAGTTTCCCTGCTGATTTGAATTTTGAACTTTTTCTCAACAGGATTTACTTTTAATTATTTGGTATATTTGGTCTAAATTAACATGTTTTTTAATCGCTCGCTGATTCGTTTGAATACCAGGCTTGGCTTCTAGGAATTCCCTGACTGCACATTTGGTGTTTCCTCTATTTAAAATTTCGACATTATCTCAATCAAATTGGTGTCCATAATCGTCTGTATGCATTGATACTAAAGAATTTATATCATGTCTTTTCACGGCTGATTTTTGTTCCTGGATTCTTATTCGAAGAGGACGCCCACTCTGGCCGATGTAATGTTTGTTACAGTTCATACAATTTATTTAGTAAATGGTGTTAATTTTATCTCCTTTTTCTATCGGATCTTTTCGTTTGCATAAGATCGAATTAAGCGATTCAGCTGGTTTGTGTGCTATATCTATATCAAACGGTTTCATTATTCTAGCCGTTATTTCAGAGATATTTCTCATGTATGGTAGGATGAATTTTCTTGTGGTCTTTGACGATGGTTCCTTATTTGTGTTATGACTCGATTTTAAACACTTCTTTTGTGAGTAATTGCTGTAATTATTGCTAGTACAGTTGAGTATTTGATATGTGTGTTGGCATTGATTTTCTATATACTTGTGTTTCTAAACTTCCTGTGTTGGTTCTCCTGATTAAGACATCTAAAAATGAGATTTTGTTATCTAATTCTTCTTCTCTTGTGAATTCGGTGTCTTCAAATATGTTGTTTATTAATTTATGAGTATATTCTAAATCACATTTCTCTTAATTATTAATTATTAATTCTCTTTATTATTAATTTTTATGTTTTAATCACTGTAGAATAATTGTTGCATAATTCCTTCCGCCAGTTTTGGATTAAAAGAGGCAAATATTTCATTGTCATCCACTTGAATGTTTTTGATTTTCTGTAAATTGTCCAGAACAGTGACGAAAGCCTCCTCAATTAAACCAACCACCTCAGAGAAAACAACTAAATAAATAAACTAACGAAATCAGGACAATTTACAGAACAAGATCAATGGCGAATGAGATCTAACGGACCCATTTTGCCTCGATTTTATGGTAGACCAAAACTACACGAACCAAACATCCCCTTAAGACCAATCGTTTCGCTTCCAGGAACACCAACATATAATCTATCTAAAGAACTTTTCAGGAAATTAAATTAAATTACCTAACAGAATCATGCGACCATTTTATCAATTCGTCAATCCAATTTTTAGAGAAAATCAAAAACATTCAAGTAGATGACAATGAAATAATGATGTCCTTTGATGTCACAGCATTATGCCCACTTCAATTAGTCCAAAACTAGCAACAGAAACTATGCAACAATTACTCTATAGTGATGAAAACATAAAAACGCAATGTTCAACTTGGATAGAACTCATAAAATTATGCCTTACAACATACTTCCAATTCAATACTCAAATATATGAGCAAATAAAGGGAACACCAATGGGATCATCACCCATATCAGGATAAATAGCTGAAGCCGTTATGCAAAGATTAGAATTAATAGCTCTACCTATAATTAAACCGAAAATCTGGGTACGTTACGTTGATGGTAAATTTGTAATAATTAAGAGAAATGTTTTAGAATATACCCATAAATTAATAAACAACATATTTGAAGACATCAAATTCACCACGACAGAAAAAAGAATTAGATAGCAAAATCCCATTTCTAGATGTCCTAATGAGGAGAACCAACACAGGAAGTTTAGAAACAAGTATAAAGAAAATCGACGCCAACTCACAGATCAAATACTCAACCACCATACTAGCAATAATCCAATTACTCACTCACAAAAGAAACTGTGTGCAGACATTGTTTAGAGGAATTCAAACACAATGTGGCACACCAGAGTTGAAAAGAATGGAAGAAAAATACTTACAAACGGTGTTCAAGAAGAATGGTTTTCCAAAAAATTTCCATCAAAAAGTGTTTAAAATCGAATGAAAGCACCAACAGAGAACCATCACCAAAAGCCAAAAAGAAACTCATCCTACCATACATCAGAAACATCTCTGAAATAACGGCTAGAATAATGAAACCGTTTGATATAGATGTAGCACACAAACCAGCTGAATCGCTTAATTCGATCTTATGCAAACCAAAAGATCCGATAGAAAAAGGAGATAAAATTAACACAATTTACAAAATAAATTGCATGTATGAACTGTAACAAACATTACATTGGCCAGAGTGGGCGTCCCCTTCGAATAAGAATCCAGGAACACAAATCAGCCGTGAAAAGACATGATATAAATTCTTTAGTATCAATGCATACAGACGATTATGGACACCAATTTGATTGGGATAATGTCGAAATTTTTAATAGAGGAAACACCAAATGTGCAGTCAGGGAATTCCTAGAAGCCTGGTACTCAAATGAAAATGCAATTAATAAACACGTTAATATAGATGAAATATACCAACTAATAAAAAGTAAATCAGGTGATCAGAAAGTTTAAAATCCCAATCAATAGAAAACGGTCAATACATATTTAAAGATGGTTACCGGGAGACTCATGAAGAAATTTAAATCATTTCACTTTATCCTAAATACTGCTCTGAAGATGTCGTCCAGAAAGACGATGAAAGCTCCTTAATTAAACCAAGGAGCTCAGAGAACACTATCAATTGCAAAACAACTAATTAGTTTGAAAGTAATAGACTTTTTAATAGCACAAAAGTAGTTGAAATATTTAAACGACTTTTTCAGACTATTTTCAAAGTAAATTTACATCATTAAACAATTAAATCACTTACATCTTTATTAAACTTAGTAGCTTGGATTAATCTGTCCGTTATCATTGGATCAGCGTACATTGTGATATCAGAAAACTAAAAGAAGCCAAGATAGAAACAAATGACGAAGATTAGAATGACTCTTAAATTCAACATTCTTGAAACATGACTATACCACTGATGAAAAGATTCAAATTCGTTTTCCTTGTGATCTTTGCTTTCATCCGGAATGGATTTTATTTCAGATCATAAGAAGCGATCCAATGACCTTCTTTTGAGAGCCAGCAAGTTTGAATGCTCAGTTCAAGAGGAGTGACACATGAAATAATTAAGTCTAACGGTCTTAAACTTAATTCTTCTAAATATCAAACTGTTAATTTCAGCTTAAAATGTAAAAGACAGTTAAAAGAAGTCATCGATTCTCATGACAGTTGTAAAATTGACGACAATGATATAGGAATTAAATCAGAAATCAAGTAAGTATCTTGGACTTATTCTCTCTTCTGATCTCTCCTGGTCTTCCCATGTCTTAGCGATCTCCAGTAAAATATTCCGCCTGACATTTTACATTAAGAAGTTAAGGCACTCGGGTATAACTCAACCAACCCCTCCTCTTACAGTTCATAAACTCTTGCATCCTACCTATTCTTCTTTATTGTTCACCCTTGCTTATTCTTTCCTGGTTTGCTTAAAAAGGACTATGTCACAATTCGTAGAATGCTGAAGACTGTCAGTAGGGTGAGTGGTGTCCCAGTGGACCACATAGTTAATGTTGTTATCGATAGGCACTTGACTTCGTCCAATAAATTTGCTAGAGGGATTTCGTCTGACTTGGAACATCCACTTTACCCTCAGCTTTCACCTTGCATCTCCCTAGGTAGAACAAGAAGTAAATTCAGAAAACTGTATGCTCGCACGTCTAAGTATAAAAATTCTATGATACCATACTTGGCGGCACGTATTTTATGTGATGCAAATAGTGTCGAGCAAGAATTAACTAACCTTTTTTCATCTAGTAAATAAACAATTTCCTCCATCCATCCTTATATAACTTCAAGTTTTACTTTGTTTATTTCTATTATATTTATGGTCCTGTTGCTTCTTTGTTTGTTTTACTCTCATAACTGCAAACACCAACTTATCTTTGTTTGTCCCCTCACCATATCATGTAAAGAGAGAACTTTATATTCAATATTTTTAAACATGCTAGGATTTCTATACCGCATAAAACGACAATACTGTGTGAAACAAGCCCACGGAATTTTTCACTTGTATTCTTATTATTATTACCTTAGCGGTTATCATTATTATTGCTATTTCCATTTTATAAGCTGCATGTTTCTGAAATTACCCCTATTTTAAATAAGGAAAATTTTCTGTGTGATTAATTTTATTTATAATTTGAGGAAATTAGATGCAATATTGTGATAAATGCTGAAAATTCAATTCTGTATCACAAGTACTGTTCTTGGAATAAAGTAAATCATTATTATTATGGGTGTCTTGTAAGATATTCGAAACCAAATTAGTCAATGAAATTTTGAATTTTGTGGCAACAAGCATTTTTAAATGGGCCAGAACTGTGCTCAAGGATAGTTAGATAAATACGTGCAACCAACTGATGAATACATTCATTGTTAATAATGTGGCTTTGTGTAATTTTGCCTGACTGAGATCTTAAGTATGCTGGGAATGAATACTTGGACAGAATTTAGATATCACACCCAAACTTTTGCCCATGGCAGTGTATATACATCGACTGTTTATCGTACATCAGATTATGACTTATTTTCGCTATTCTTCGTCAGATTATTCTATCCCAGATACATTTCGCTTTCTTGTTATCTAAGTGATTATGTTTCCGTGCTTTTATTACTTTGTGTGATTTTCCAAAGTTCTACCATTTCATACATTTATTAAGCTTTAATGAATTTGAATAAAGCAAGAACAACAGTAGGGGTTTTTGTAGAATGAATTGGTACCAGCATTATTTATTTCACCGGCTACTCATCAGCTGCTTACAGGCCAAAGTCATTATTAAGTATATCTACAGAAACAATTTTAACATACTTGCACACAGAGAGTTCATTGTTAGACAAAAATCACAAAATAATTCAGCAAAGAATATCTCCCTTTCGATAATTTCCTCTTCTGGCTCTACAATTATATATACTGTACATTTATATACATAGAATATTCTAGAATAGTGGTCAGTAACAATATCAGTGTTTTTTAAATAATATCGATTCACTAATTAAGATCACAATGGAATTAAAGTTCATTATAGATGCTTAAATTATAATAATAATAAAAATATAATAGCAAATAGAATATCAACTAAAATTAGGAAAATTCCCAGATGGCTAGCGTTAGGACAATGTCTGAACTAGCTTCTTTTGGATGCACAAATTAGGCTTCTTTAAATGGGTCCCAATAGCCTGTCTCAGCAATATTTAGTAGTCGAACTCTTAATGTGAAATTGAGATTCGTCGGTATGCGGCAAATGACCCTGAAAGCATGGTTAACACCAACCTTGTGTTCTGTATCTCCAAGATAAGATAGAATAGCGCTACGAATAGATTTTGTTTGTCTCTTACTTAACCGCTATGCTGGGTGATGTTCGGAAATTCGACGAGAAACACGCCTAACTGTATGGCTTATGTAACTGGCTCGATAGTTAGTTCAGACATTATTCTTACCAGACTGACCATCTAGGTTTGAATGATCTTCAATTTTTGTGGAATTTTCCTAATTTTAGTTGATATTCTATTTACTATTATATTTTTATTATTATTATAATTTTAGCATATTTGCTGAACTGTAATTCCATTGTGATCTTACTTAACAAATCGATACTATATTGTTATTGACTACTAATCTAGAGTTTTCTATATATAAAAACATATGTGTATATAATAAATACTTTATTCCGAACAATAATGATTCAACGCAATGGAAACTTTCAGCATAACATAGTCAGATGACAGTATCCAGTTACCAGACAGGGCGAGGAAAGACTGATAACCATTTCTTTCTGAACACATAAATCGGGTTTCAGGCGCTTGATGCAAATTGCTTCGTCAAACTTGAGAAGAGCTGAAGTCGTTTGCCTATGGATAATTTTGAACGATCTTTCGACGTCCACCTCATGCATGACCCATGTCAACGAGATGCTTGACGATGGCATTGTTGAAAGCATTTTAACCCTTTTTGAGGACGTAAGCTTTTCCGTACATGTTGCAAAAGTTGGAGTTATGCTCTTCTTTCTGTTCTCCCAATGTAACTACTCCCACAGATATATGTAAACTTGGATATACAGATGGAGTGTCGACACAAGATCGTTCCAACTTACCTGCTCAGAACGCCTGAAATCCGATTTATGTGTGTATTCAGAAGGAAGCAGTTATCAGTCTTTCCTCGCCCTGCCTGGTAATTGGATGTTTTCACCCTCTCTTTCATTTGATTACGTAATGGCGAAAATTCCACTGTGTATGATCATTATTGTTTGGGATAAATTGTTTAATATATATATATATATTATTGCATGGACATATTGATTGATTTTGTCTAAAACTTAACCCAGTGTATGTAAGTATGTTAAAATTGTTTCTGTAGGTAAACTTAATAATGTTTTTGGGCTGTAAGCAGCTGATGGGAAGCCATTTATCTTTCATTTATCAGTCTTCATATACTGTTATTCGGCTAACAGTACCTCGAACACCGCTATAATCTGCAAATGATATGACCAAAATTGTCCGTAAATTCTATTTCTCACATAATCTCAGATAAATTAACGGTACAAACTAAATACTTTGGGTCTTTGTTTTCCATGTGCTTAGCAAAATCTCGTTGAGTTATTGGTTAATTTCAAATATGACCTTACACTGAGCAAGAAATTAATTTGATTATATTTATCTTTGAACTCAGTTACTCGAAACTGAGTTTTTATGTACCAGACTATTGACCGTACATTATACCATGTATGGTGTGACTGCTAAGGCAAAAGTAGGTGGAGGGGGACTCAAACTCGAGACCCATTAAAGTTAAATCTGTGGTGAGAGCTGTCTGTAAGCCAAATCGATAGACATCAATTTACGTCAGTGTTTACGTCTCAAACGTTGGTCATGAGAAGAAACAAGAACAAAGTCTAACCTTGGAGAACTCAACAACCAATCGCGGTAGACTTTGTGTGGGCGGATACGATTAGCAGATATATGGCCTGGCCGTCAAAGAAACGGCCACAAAGAGATGAAAAAATAACTTCCAGTGGGAAGACAACCAATCAGAAGACACTGTACATAAAAATCTATAAATATTTGTTGATTTTCTCAATGAACAACGTGTTGACTGGCCCTTGTCTTCTGTCGTTACAAATGGAGTCGTTCAGTCAATGAGTCACATCTTGAATTTAAGTCCAAAGCCTAAAAATGCACACATTACAGTTGAATGACAATATATGTATGTTGATGTCTGTAACTTTAAGCCTAGTTCTATCAAAGTTTTCATTTGCAGACGTGTGGATATTTGGCTAGACAATACAGTCAGAATGCATTAGTAATAATTCAAATATTTTAGAATTTAATTTGATTTTCAGATTACGTTTGAATATCAGTTAGAATTTAACTTTTGTACTTAACGTTCGAATATCATCGATGGCCATAATACCTAAAACAGTCTTCAGTTAGCAGATGGTTATCGATTTATAGGGTAACAGTTAGAGATGAGATAAAAAATTAAGTCGTGGATGGATTAGAACCAGTGGACTCCGAATGACTAGTCCGTCATCCTAACAGCATAACTACGAGACCCAACTGTTTACATTAGGTCTTCATTTCACCAAAGTTACGAAGGTTAGCGCTCAGTCATCGTTAAGGTTGAATGATACGCAACTGTGAGTTTGTCACCATACCAGCTGTGGAGATGAGTTTACAGTTGTGAATCCTTGTTTCATCCCATGCAGTCAGAGTGAATCATAAGACATAGAGCTATGACGTGGCAATGTTTTTACTGGATGAGTTCGTTAGCCTCCTGCTGAATCCTCCATTTCTCCAGGTTTACTGCCCGCTGAATGGTGTTTATGGGTTATACCTCAAGAAATTGAAGCCAGAGCTTCAATGTAACCGGTGTGCATTCTGTCTATTTGATCCTAGTTAGTGAATTAGAATGAGAGGAGAAAGTTACCAAGTGATACGGAGACCACCTGAGATTGTTAGTGAAGACGAAATAAAAATCTTGGTCAATGCATATATATATTTTCGTTACAGGATTTCATCATGAGCTAGTTCTAGTGGGAAGTCGTGACCAGTAGGGTGCAGCAGGTTGGGTGTCAGGAAAAATACTCGCCACCGATGACACTGGATAGCAGTTGCGCTATGTTGTGAATTGTCAGAAGTTAGAATTCATGGGCTGGCCAGTGGCTTAATGGTCTATGAGCTCGCTCGCCTTGTAACCAGAAGGTCTTCGGTTCTAGCCCTCTGTGGTGGGTGCGTACTGATCAAGAGTCCCAAACTAGGACGAAACAGCTGTCCAGTACTCCCAGGTCTTCCAATGGTTCTCTAACCCATGTCAGCTAATGATAAATATATATATATATATATATATATATATATATATATATATAAATATTTATATATATTTTCCTACACTTTCGCAGTGGAACATAGGGCTCCAAGCTAAAGGCTTGAAGATTCCGTAGCAGTTTTGATTTTTACAGGATGGGGTTGCTAGCCTCATGCCCGACAGTTCCTCTTTACCAGTCTCACTACTGGTTTAGCGAGGTAAAGGAGTGAGACGGCCGGGGCTCGAACCCCGGACCTTGAGCATGGTCGGCAAGTAAATTATGATACCTGACTAACTAACTTACCAGCATTACATTGAAATAATCATTCTCTGTTAAAGTATTCAATATTTCAGCTGCTGTAGCATTCGATATTATATCACTTCGTCCTTTCATACTACCACTTTTATCGATAAGAATAATCATTTCTTTAGGATAAGCAGATGCTTGTAAATACCTAAATAAAATAGGTATAAATAAGACAAAGTGAGATCACATGGGATGACATGCTATATACTAGATTGAATATATATATATATATATATATATATATATATAAATGCATTGAAAATTAAAACAATAAGTCCTGAGTTCGAGCCTCCTCACTCGCGGAAATGAAGGTATCTTTAGTCGATTAGTCCTAATTTTTGACGAAATACGTTTCTTGGGATTTTACTTCTAGCAGCCATCAACCAATAGACATAGATATGTTATGGGTGATACATCTAGATGAAGAAGACAACTTACTTCGCTTCAGGAGTTTGCATCAAAGGTATGAGACTAGACGGAGAGATCTACGTAGCTGTTAAACAGATCAGCTCAGCTGCATATAACATTGTCAACAGTTACGAAGAAGGATCCTTCCATGAGACATATTTCTTATTCCATTTCAGTCTTCACTTAAATATTTATAATAGTCTGTCAGTCCTGGAATACTTCAAATAGTCTCACTGTCAAGTATATGTGCATTTGAAAAGAGGATTATTCATTCAGAAGTTGTCTCCAGAAGTGACTAGTTCCAGATGAACACCGTCATCATGAATAAATAAATGAATGCCTTACATCTATCGTATTTCTACGAGTATGTCTATGCAGTACTGCTTTTCTAGAAAGTTTATCTTTAGTGGTCATTTAAACCCCACAGTTTCAGGATATATGGATTAAATTGGGAAATTCATGTAATCAATCAGTCAGTCGGTCAGGATTGTATGACTTTCCATGAGAGAGAATCGTTTAACATATGTGACAGATTCAGTGATTTTAAGGCAACCGCGTAGACCACTATTAGGCCACTGGATCAGTTCCCAGTAGTTTAGTGGTCTATAAGCTCGTTAGCTTTGTAACGAGAAGGTCCTGGACTCATGCCCCAGTTGGCGCGTACCAGTGAAGAGTCCCGAACTAGGACGAAACAGATTTCCAGTACTCCCACCGGTTTACAAATGGTTCTCTAACTGATGTCGTCTTATAACAAAGTCATGTAACCAATCAAATCGAATCCCTACAAACCAACACTTGAAGAGTTTTGATTGGTTTGTCCCCTTGTGGTGAGAATAGGCCGTGAGAAAATATGAGCAAGGCTGATTCAACAACCAATCACAGCAAAGTTAACGTGGCAAAATATGATTCGCAGATAGAGAACTCTATTTGTCGAGGAATCCCGAAACAACCAATCAGAAGCCTGCGTTGGTCTACCTAACTTCTGATAAACAACCAATCAGATAACTGCGCTTGTCTACTTGCATAAGCTATAATAATGTATGTGAAATATGTATAAATACGTGTTGATTTTCATAATAAAACGATCTGTTGCCTGGCCCTTGTCTTCTGTTGTTACACCCTGAGTTTCGTGTAGCTATTTCTTTCACGCCATTTGATCTTCACTATGGAGCGAAGATGATAAAAGTCTACAATAGCCTGTTCGAGATGCTTTTTATGATGCAGACTTTTTTGACAATAAAGTTAGAAACACGAGTTTTTTTACTTATACTGATTGCAGACCATTTACACACTGATTACAGGCTACTGAATGCCAGTCTTGCCTTTCCCATTCTTGATTTAATATCCTCCTCTGTGCTGTCAGTAGCTGAAACTGTACTGCCCAAATATGTGAAAGAATCGATTTCCTTCAAATTTCCCCCCGCTGGTAGTGATTGATGTTTGTTGTTTTTGCCTGAACATGTTCAAATTTGGCTTTTCTATGTCCACTTGAAGTCCCATCCTCAGTGACAGTCTCTTCTGTCAACTTATTGGTTTTCACCCGTAGATCTGAGTTATTCTACGACTTTAGACATAAATCGTCCAGGAAGTTCAGATCATCTAGGGTTTTTGCATATAAGTTTGCTTATTAGATATATCACACAGTGAGCGAAACAGTATTATTTACTAGATGACACAGTTTCGAACAATATTTATTACTATACAATTGGTGGATGGTAGCTAGCAGTGGAATCCAGTATGCGCATTTCGTCCTATTTGGGACTCGTCAGCTGGATGTACCTGCATTTCTCAGTGAATGATGATGTTCCCACCGAGGCTCGAACCCAGTACCCATAGTTTCGAACGCCAAAGCGTTACCCACTAGAAGCCGACATGTCAACCTGAGACCGAGCACTTCAGTCCAATCAGTCGACGGGAAAATCAAAAATTCAATTCATTAATATTTATTACTGTTCATAATCAGTTCATCAATTATAATCATACGACTTCGAAACTTGAGTTTTATAGTTTTCTTTGTCTTCTCCTATTTGTCGTGGTTGGGGTAGTAGAATTTTCCAGATATCTGGGTGGACAGGTGTTGAATCATTCCTATTAAACGTATTCTCTTCAGTTGATTCGATAAGCATAAAGATTCTGTTATCAATCTCTCTCTTCTTGTGCACTGATATTCCTATCAGTAATCTGAAACAACTATTTGTTAAATGTACAACAAATGTTTTAGTTCTTGTTTAATAATGAAATGGACAGACAGGTTGATGGAGTAGCCATTGGATCCCCAATGGGACCTATTTTCGTGAAAATATTTTTACCAAAACTAGAAAATAGTCCATTGAAAGATGAAATAGCAAAAATGGAAATGTACTGTTGTTACATGGATGACACTTTTGTAGTGTACGATGAACGGTTAAGTAGTGATTTGATTTTGAGCAACTTCAATAATGGTCACCCAACCATCCTATTCACCTACGAAGGAGAATAGAACGACTCTCTGAACTTCCTCAACGCCCTACTAACGAGAAGAGAGGATGGGTTCGCCAAAAGAACCACATTTAGAAAGCTAGAGACCAAAGCTCAGTTTACACACATCCTTAGCTTCGTACCAATGAAATACAAACGTAATCTAATCAGGTGTTTAGCATGTAGAGCGAGGTCTATTTGTTCCGAAGACTGTTCAGTGAAAGAACTCCAGGTCATTCGAGATATTCTAAGCGAGAAAGGACATTCAGAAAAGTTTATTGAAGCCAAAATAGGTTACAATAGTCGTAAACAAGAACTGTTTTTTACGTCTACAATTCAAGGGAGATACTTCTGCAGAGATTCTATCACAACGTTCAACCACGGTGATAAAAACTCTCTACTCTGCACGTCTGTTACTATCCTTCATTAGCTGTCCAATGTTCACTCAGCAACTCAAAGGTGTCTTACCTAACGTTAGCTCTTCTTCATGAATATACCATTTCAACTGTTCCTGTGGTTCAAGTTATATAAGGCGAACGATTAGGCAGGTTCGTCTATGGGTTCGAGAACATTTACCCGCTTGTTTCACCAGGGAGAAATTAAGTGCATAAAAAGCTCGATCCTGTCACACTTGGTCGATACTGGACAGAGCATCGAAGTCAACACAGCTTTCAGGGTTATATACCGAATTCCGAAGTCGTTATCACATGCAGCTCGCCTACATCTCCTACACATAGCTAAAGCTGTTGTAAAATGATCGAATAAACCGGGACTTAGTATCCAAAAAGAACACGTCTAGACGCTGTTCCTACCTTGGCCAAACTTCTTCTTCTCACCAAGAGTGCTTCTTCCCCTTAACTCTCTTGGTTTTTTTCTTTCTTTGCTCATTATTACAATTATTATTATTATTATTATTATTATTATTCGTAATAATTAATACTTTTCATGCAAACATTCTCTCAGTGCTATCGAATTTTCCATAAAATTACTGTTTACTTAGTAAATATGATCAATAATAGTATAAAAAAGTGACTTACCAAGGTTGAGAACGACAGTCGAAAAAATCCAGTCGATATTCATCCAATTGAATTTCCCACATAGCACCTATAGAAAGTAAGAATAGTTTTTAAGAAAACTATATATATTAATATTTGATATTAGATATCAGCGGTAACATCTCTGACTGTAGCACTTGATGAAGCAGGTGTGAATCTCAGGAGGATATGACCTCCTTCAAGAATGCAGATACATTTTACTGAACTGTGCCGAAATGCAGGAAACCTAGGTCCACGACTTTCTGCCAATTACCTATAATCACCTTTTATCACCAACTATCAATGACCTCCATCTCTACAAGAGATACATCGGTGATACTTTCATTATTTATGATTTAAAAAACCAACTTCAAATCTTCAATAACGAACACATAAACATCGACTTTACACTTGAGACTGAATCCGACGGAATGTTCCACTTCCTCGATGTCCATCTGACAAGAAACGCCAACAACTCTCTTAAAAGGTCCATATAGCAAAAGCCTACATGGAATGGGCAATTCATCAAGTTTCAAAGCTTCGTGCCCCTGAGCAGAAAGAGGAACCTGACATACGCTCTTTCCTCGAGGATCTGGAAGATATGCAGCGAGGAAGCGGTTGAAGAAGAACTGCGTAATCTCCGAAAAACCTTGATGGGAAACGGTTTCCCGCCCAGGTTCATAGACAAGAACCTCAAATCTAAGAAGACTTCTGAACAAGTCCAATCCTTTCCGAAGAAAATACTTCTGCTTAATCTAGAATTCAGTGGTGATATTAAAGCAGAAATCCTTCGTAAACGCCTATCCAAATCGCTGAGGAAAACATACTTCGCCGTGAGCCTACGACTGAGGTTTTCCTGCAAGAATCTGTTCAACCAGAACGCGAAAGACAAGCTGTCGCATTGATCCATTTCAGTGTACATATACCAGTTTACTTGCTCTTGTGGAGCTGAGTACATCGGCCGTACCATGCAACAACTTGAAAAAACACGCTCGTGACCACTATCCAGACTGGCTAGTAAAAGGAGAACGAAAACGTGTATATAGTTCAGTGACAGAATACATGGTCAATTCAGGACATTCAGCGCCATTCGAAAAATCCTTCGAAATAATATACAAGTTTCAATCAAACTAATCAAAGGGAGTGAAATCAAGACATCTGGGCATAGCCAAGGCGATAGCTATCCAAATGCTCAAACCACGCTTTGTATACAAAAGATATATGTCCAACCCCTGTCCCTACCATGGCCATCATAAACAGGTGATTTTTTAGTAATGACCATCCCATCGCCTGTTTAGTTATGTTATTTTTTTGAAGTTTTTCTTAATCCCTGTTAACACTACCATATTTTCATATCAGAACTTCATGTTTATTTTGTCATTTTACTATTTCTGCATATTTAATCCCTGATTGCATAAACAATTATTCATCAAATTAGTTTTTTATCCAAATATCCTGTCTATTTTGTTATTTCTACATTTCTAACCCCTAATTGCATAATGTCAATCTTCTTAGTTATTATTGATGCTGCTTTGTTTGTTTTATCCATCCCCCTGTTTTGACCCTTAACCGGAAATTATTCTGGAATTTTCCCATCCACTGGATATAAATACACGGATGTACAGCCCAGATGATGACTTCGTCGAGAAGAAAATTTTCTTCGCTGCAGTTGTTTTCTTAATAACTCCTATGACCCAATGTGTATATTCCGTCACCTAATATTTGTTTCTGTGTGCATCTAGCATGGTAATTACATGGCAAACTTGACTGATAGAACTCAGTCTGCGCCAAGCTAAGGACTTAAAGCATGACATCGGTTCCTACGTAGACGAATCTAAATCTCCTTAGTTCTATAGACAGAGACATTCCCATTGGGATATTCAGACCACGACTGACGTCTTCTTCATCCATTGTTTTCTTATCTAGTCCTAAGGGCTAACTGAGATTTATCAAATCAAGTTTACATCGTGATCATCAAGGTAAGTAGTTCACTATCGCACTTCACTTTAAATCAAGTGTTGGATAATCAGAGGAAGTCGATTTTATGGCCATGAACCTAGATTTCTGTGCTTCCTGACACTTCTCATTAAGGTGTTCTTTTTGAGAGTTTTCTTCAAATCAGAATGTACGTATTTCGATCCTTGTCGAGATCGTTTGATGTCTACTGCCTAAGAGCTTAAAACTAGGAAGAGACAACTCTTCATTGTGCCCTCGAAGTTCAAATATTTCTGAAACCGGTTTCTGTTCATGATAAAGTCTACGTCGTAAGTATTTATATAGTTAGTTACTAGGAATTGATTACTTAAGAGCAGTAGATCTAAGGTTTGTGCTTATTGTGATCTGATAAATAAGATATATTGAAAATCATGAAGAAACGTATATGGTACTTGAGATTTCAATCTTTATCATTCAGTGAAATGATTAGTGTTGCATTGTGTCATCCGTGTTGGTCATTTGTTTACGCACTCAGCTTTCAATCAATTGCTTCTGGGTTTGAATACTTCTTCGCCTTCTTCAATTTCAGTTCATATCCCGACACGCATCAGATCTTTAAGGGATAGATTACTTCAAACAGACAGTAATGTTTTCATGAGATTACATGGTTGGAGGCAATCGGCCACAAGGAGCCTTGCCAAGACCTAGGTTCCATGCTAGTTGGCACTTACCAGTAGTCAGCAAGGCGTATCTGCAACCTTGAAGGAACTCATGTCCCTACGGAGATTCGAACCCACGTCACCCGATCCTGGCTGCAGTCAGAGATGTTACCCCTGGGCTATTCGGGTTCGTGACTGAACTCCTGTAGGACTGTATTGGATATTTTTGACTGCACACCAGTCAGTAACTAGTGTAGTGTGCCTAGTCCTATCTTCGGTTCAGACTGAGTTCTATCAGTCAGGCTGCTAGGTGGCTTGCCATTACGGTGCACTGTGAGATGTCGGTGTTAGATGGTTGGAGTCAGTTGGCAGTAGGCTTGAACCAACCGTCTAATATCGGGAAATAAATATGCACCGTGATGGCAAGCTACCACCTAGTGTCATGGTGGCCACATTGCAAACCTGACTGATAGAATTCAGTCTGCTTCAAACACAGAGGACTATCCAGACACATCAAAATAGATATAGGCATTTGATTGGCTTTTGGTTAGCTGGCTTCCTATTGGTCTAAAATATAAGTTAAAGCGGTAATCTTTTTATTTTGACACGGAAATTTACAGTCAGTATGATTTAGGGCTTACCTTACCATAATATAATGGCGTGTTAATTTTTTTGGTATGAGTGTAGTGTGATAGTCACACGTTATTTAGATGCATAAATTATTTTTAATTAATAAAATTTTTAAAAATTATTTTTTAGAAAATTTTTTTAAATTTTTTATCATCATTTTAAATTCCTTAAAAAAATTGGACTAACGGGAAATAAACCGTTTGCCCAAAAGCCATTCTAAAAGAAAAAGGGTTATTTTTTATTTTTATTATATTCATGTTAAAATTTCAAAAAATGATAAAAAAACTAAATAGTAGCACCCAGTGACAAAAACTGACCTACACACTGCAAAATGAGCAAAACATCCAGAAAAACCTTAAAATTCAATGGAAAACGAATTCACGAAAACATGTAACAAGCCGGTGCAGGAACTCATTATGATCTAGAAACTGACTGTAGCCTCTTTCATTCAATCGATAGGAGGATACTAACTAGCACATAAAACCAACTCATATCGGCATCATTTGTATCCATAAATTCTTTTCCATAAATAAATTTTATTAATTAATCACACACATACACGTACGTACACGTTCAATTGATTTACCTGGATAGTATTTAAAAAATCCAGTGGAACTTCCAAAGTATTGCCATTTTAAAGTAGGATCTGATTTAGCATTCAACTTGAATACCTCATCCAATCCAGTTGTCCAATTTCCAACTCTTTGTAATTTATTTGCTGTGATAGTAGTATAAACAAAATTATATGAAAAAAAAATTGAATATATGAATCAAGTGTTGCGATGGTGAAGAAGATTTATAGGTCAGGTGAATGATTTTAATTCTTGTTATCTCCACATGGAGTGGATGCATCTGCGCCAGCCACTGAAAACGACAATTTTGAGCCATGTCATCAATTGTCTCCAGCCGCCATTGGTGCTTACCGTCCCGAGGATCTCAACCATTTAGGAAGTCTACACCTTCCTATGTGGTTAGCTTAAACTAACTGTTGTGGTTTTCATTGACTGGTGAATCCATATTTTGGTTTGACCACCACTAGCTAGCTCTTTTCCAACCTGATCCATTCTATGTCAGTCAGTTAACATCGCCTGTCAGTCGAGGAAGGCGATGGCTAGGTTAGGCATGTGCAATGCATGTCCTAACCACTTCAATCGATGTAACTTCGCAAACTCATCGATTGATTTCCCCTCTTTACCTAGCACTCGACCGATATTTAATCTCAATATTGCTCACCATATTTTACCTATTCACACAGGAGATAGAACGTAGGCACTTATGATCAAAGACAGCTAGCCAGCTTTGTCATGTTATCCACTCTCAATGGCTAGGTCTCACATACATAAAGGAGGACGGAGAGGACTGCTGAGCAGTACACCCGCACTTTGGTCGATAGCCAGCTACATATCACGTCTACTAAGCCAGAGACGGCGTAAACTGGCATATGAGAAACTAGCTTCCGTTATCTGTACTGAGATTTCGTCAGAAATCAATCCATCGGGGCTGATGCAACTTGACAAATACGTGAAGCAGTCAACGTGATCTACCATTTCACTCTGTATTTCTAAACTAGGAGTCAGTGTAGTCCAATCCTGCAACATTATCTTACATTTGGCGGGAACGAATCGAAAGCCAAACATTCGTAGGTTGCAGCTCAAGATGTTCAGAAGACTCTGCGTTTCGTCAGCATCTTCACCTAGAAGGACTATATCGTCTGCATATTCTAAGTCAACGATATTATTCCCTCCCTGGTAACAAGTCAATCCCTGTGTCTCTAAAGTGAGTTAGGGTTAAATCCATTCGTACATCAATGATGAAACTGAATAGAAACTTGGATAGTGAGCATCCCTGACGGACACTACTTGTTGTCATCAGTTCAGATGAAAACTCACCGTAAGCTTTTACCTGGCTGGCTGCATGAGTGCTAGTAGAGTACCTTGATCAGTGCAATGTAATTTCTCGGCATTCCCTATACAACCAAACATCACCATAGTACCTTTCGGTCAACGGAATCAAATGCCTCTTTCAGGCCAAGAAAAATGGCGATTGTTGGACGCCGGTAAGTACTCTTATGTTCCAGGATCTGCTGAAAGGTGAAGATATAATCAATACACCCTCTTCCTGGTTTAAAGCCTGCCTAGCTTTCTCATGTTTGTGCCTCCCAACTACCACTTAGTCTATGCATTATTATTGAGCCTAGAACTTTAGATACCATATTAGTCGAACTAATCCCCCCTGTGATTATCACAGGAAGACTTGTCTCCCTTCTTGTATATCGGGATAATCAATGGCATACACCAACCCGACGAGACTTCTTCTGATTCCCGAACACTGCCTAGTACCTGCCTAGTACATGTGGATATCCAATATCCTCGATATCAGCCTATCCCAGTATATGAGATGACCGTTCCTGAGTGATGTCCTTGGTTCACAAAATTTACTCCTGAACTTTTTTTATAAATGGCATTCAACAAAATGTCGTATATTTCTCCAGACGGGAAAAGAAGAGATATCAAGTTGGCTGTTTTCTACCTCTTACAGTTAAACTTTGCCCACAGATCAAAAACTCCCAATCAACTCCCAAACAATGAATATGTTGACAAAAGTTGAAGTCAGAATTATCCATAAAATCCATAAGGCAAAAAGGATTATTATTCAACTAGAACTTACATAAATCATAAACATTAGTTGGAACATGTGCAACTGAAAAATTGTAGCATACATAATCATTATCGTGTAGTGGACTTTGTTTCAACGGGATATAAAATTTTACACTGCAGTTTTCTGTTTCATTCAACGGTGGTATAATTGTCAACGCTTTAGCTCTATAATAACACTATAATCAACAGAGAAAAGAAAAATTAGATATTAATATATTATACTACTGATTTAATAAAAGTAGTTACGGACAACACTAATTAATAGTGGTTATAAGTCGAACTATTTCGTTGGTCGAATGATGAAAGGACTCGCCTATCGACTTAAAAAGGGTTTGGTAAGCATACTTATGATGTTATGAGTGTGTGTGTGACGCCAAGGAATTTTAAGGTAGGATGAAACAGTTGTTGTTCAATGCTCTTTTCTTCTTTGTGAGCCGGTGGTTCAGAATTTAAAAAATATAGTCGTCAATCACCAAGTGAGTCCAGGTTCGATTTCCGGCGACTTAATCTCTGAGTTAATATATGTATGTGTAAAACTTGGGCTCTGTGGTAGTAAGTAATTTCATATTAGTTTGTTAATTAGATGTATCACACAGTCAGTGGAATAGTATTATTTACTGGATGAATCCCGAACTTAGGACAAAAGTGCCACTTGAAGATATTTTACTGGGATTGCAGCTGTGCATAACTTCTACAGTATTTATATTCCAGCGAAAAATTTACAGACAAATTGAGGGATTTGTCGCGAGGTCATCAATATCCCCGGTTGTGGCAGATGTATTCACGTTCAGCCCCACCCCAAAAGTATAGTGGAGGTAGGCAGATGACACATTCAATGTACTTAGAACACAGGATATAGATGGATTTCTCGAACACATTATAACTCAAAGGTGGAGGGAATTCAATTCACTCATGAGTTGGAAAGTCAGGAAGGGGAGCCACAAATGTTAGATTGTAGCGTAAAAAGGAAAGAAGATGGGAAGTTGAACACTAGTGTTCACAGGAAACCCACACATTCAAACAGATATCTGGACCTCCGATCGTCCCATCCTATATCATTGAAAAAAAGATTGGTGAAATGTTTAAATAATAGAGCACGGAAACTGAGTAGTACGAAGGTAAATCTAAGACAGGAAGTGAGGCATATAAGAGAAGCTTTGAAACTTAATAATTACCCTGATAAATTAGTCAGAATGTATGTAGGGAAATGTAAAAATAAATAATGAAAGTAATGATAGTGATAATTAATAATAATAATAATAATGACGACATGTATGTCAAACATGCACAGGATAATGACAACACCAACAATAAGTAGTCTAAATCATCAGTAGTAATTTCATACAAGGAAGGAACCTCGGAAACCACCTTACGCAGAATTCTTAACAAGGCAGCAATAAATGTGGCTGGCATTCAAAACACCCACAAACTCAATTAGAAACAAGCTTTGTCGGTTAAATGGTGGATTCTGTGTAGCCTTTAAAAGAGAACAATTTAGTTTACCTAATACACTGCCTGCAATAAATGTCAGGTCGAATACATAAATCAAACTAGTAGAACAGAGGCAGTCAAACTAGCTGAACATAAAAATCTAGCAGCAAATTCCAGATTAGTTGATACGAATTTTTATTTTATTTTTTTAATTTTTTATTACAGCTTGATTCCACACCGTATTTTTGGTACAAGTATGGAATTTTCAGCATGGATATTGGTAGCCCAAAATCTAGAGAATAGTTCAGATATAGCACTACACCGCATACAATTACACACAACCATACAACAGGATGGGACGACAGTTTTAAAATCTAATGCAACTGAAAAGGTGGAGGGAGTAATTGATGACAACAGAAGCTTTGTGTATCGAATCAACATGTGAGGGTATACTTGTAATAGGGATGATTCAACACCTGTCCAGTCGGATACCTGGGGAATTGTATTACCCAGACGACGACAAATAGGAGGGGAAGAAGAAAACTATAAAATTCAAGTTTCAAAGTCGTGTGAATATAATTCACGAAATGATTATGGACAGTAATAAATTTTGTTCGAAACTTTGTAATCCAGTAGGGAAAAGGGGTAAAGACAACAATCCTACTCTGTGAAAATATCAATTCTGCTATAAAAATGTATTAAAGGCTTAGAGCCGAATATCTCACTCAGAACACAAAAGAATGTTGAAGGAAAGTTAGTCGAATTAAATAGATATGAGCAATTAGTTCATGGGAGTGTTTTTTTCCTGTAGAATCAAGGCTATCAGCTGTTTGACTCAGAAAGGCAAGGTAACATAACCTTGACTAGATAGCTGACTGACCTAGAGATACACAAGACATATTAACACTATCAAAATTGTCTCGAAGAAGCAACTCAATAGTTCAAGTGTGAGATGGTAAAGATCATTTTAAGGGGAAATGCAAGCTTGTGAGCAATTAGGCAGTTGGATTAGAGAGAAATGAGACGACATAAAGAAATGGAGATGCATCACATGAAGTCCATGTCCCATTCAGAACTCAAACGAGGTATATCAGTAACAGAAAGTTGTTTCACCTCTTATTGAATCTTTTCAAGTGTGATAGAGTTCGCATCTAAATTCAAAGACGAAGTAAACTATGACTGGCCACTAGAAGGCAACTTATGTTACGTAATAGTTTATGAGTGCTGATTCAACTCCACTAGTCATATTTGCAGTGTGAGCAACAAGCTAAGTGACTCACCATGCCGGTAAATTTTCAAATGATTTTTCTATGTCTGTGATCGTAGCATTCGGTAATGTGGGTTCATATGTCTAGTAGGGACCTCAGTTACTTTGAGGTGCAGATAAGTCATCTTAAAGAGTTTCAGAAAGCATAAGGTCTGAGTCTACAGCTTCCTATTGATTGCTACATACTAATCACTAACAAAGACCTGCCTTGTGTTATATAGCACTGATAATTTTATGTGTGTTTAACAAATAAAATATTTAAAGACATTCATCTGTCAGTTATCTTTTTCTTGGAGTTGTAAAAGAGAAATGAAATACAGTCACTAAGCATCTTAGTTAGTTACTGTCACTCAAAATCCTGACACTTGTCTTGTGAATAAAAGTTGATTTATGTATTGTCGATGTGTGTTAAAGTTGTTCAATACACACCCACCCCAACTCCAACAAATGGTCACATTCTTTTTCTTTCTTTCTAAGCGTTAAGTAAAGATGGACAACGGCGAAGTTAAACTTTCGACACCACTAACTACCAATCAGCGAATTATCCAATGAGATTCACGAACGATATCGAATTATCCAATGAGGTTCACGAACGCAGTTCAATGTTTTATAGCGCTTGATTCATTTCTAATGCGTGACCTTACAAAGCTATTGTTGCAGTTCGAGGAGGTTAGCGTTTTCCAGTATTTCCTGGATTTGAGTTGCGCCGGAAATAGCGAATTTGTTTGTGTGGTGGTATCATGACTTTAAAAAGCTATACCAAATCAACTGATGGGTTTGTTCATCGTTGTGCTATATGTTTGAAGCTTACTAACACTAGAGAGAGTAAGCTGATAATTTTAATATTTCGTAGGAACTTTCTTCGCTAGGTTGCTTCTCTCCCTAAGGATAGCAGATAGAAAAGCAACTACTCTTATACGTATTATTACCAGACTTGTTAAGCGGGGGTCAATTATACACACCGACGAGTGGAAAGGCTACAATTCACTGTCATCTCTGGGATATATTCATCATAGAGTCAACCATTCAAGTGATTTTGTGGATCCCGTTACGAGGACACATACAAATTCTATTGAAGGATTTTGGGGCAGGTTGAAAAATAGGATAAGGGCTATAAATGGATCTCAAAAGGATCTCATTTATGGTCATTTGGATGAATATATGTACAGGATATGGTGTAACTTCTCCATTGGCAGTCCCATGCTAAACTGGGAGATGTTCCTCTCACATGTTTGAGAAAGATATCCCATGTTACTTTTTTATTCTCTATTTTATGCTTTTTTCTACAAATACACATTTCCATTCATCATATATGCCTCTTTAATGTGACTGGTCCGTTCAAGGTCGTTTGCTGATTGGTTGTTAGTGGTGTCTAAAGTTTAACTTTGCCTGGACAACTTTACCTGGAAGGAGGGTTTAGGGCATCTCACTTGATTTCAGTCTACAGTATGAAATGATTCAAGAGGGAAATTATATAATTCATGTATCATTCTCTTATGAGTTTCAGTATTGTATAAAAACTTTTCAAAGCGTAAAATTAACGCTGTAATTGTTGTCTACAAGGATAATAAATGCCACATAATGAATAGATATGACAGAGAAGATTTGTAGCTCAGGTAGATGATTTTGATGTGGTTGTGTTCTCTGAGCTAGCTGGATAGTTAATTTGCGAAGCCTTCATCGCCCTACTAGGCGACATCTTCAGCGCATACTTCAATCTATTGAAGTGAGCTTTAAGATTTCTCCACAAGTTTATTAATCATCTCTCCTCGTGAGTGACCTTGAACCTCGTGATTTCTTGTTTTTGTGTGTTTTCACACCTTCTAGGTTACTTGTATTGGAACTGATTGTTTCTTTGGTTTGAACTTTGACCCTGTGTGTGTGGGGTTTCTTTCTTATCGGTTGATGTGTCGCGATGTGTCTGTTGATTGTTGATTCACTGGCGTCCACAAACAATAGACACTTCGAGATAGACTAAATTTATCAACCGATAAGAAGGAAACCTCCCACACAGGGTCAAAGTTCAAGTCAAAGAAACAATCAGTTCCAATACAAGCAATCTAGAAGGTGTGAAAACACACAAAAGCAACCAATCACCTTCAAGGTGGTCACCAGGAGAGATGATTAATAAACTCGTGGAGAAATCTGAAAGCTCACTTCAATAGATTGAAGTATGCGCTGAAGATGTCACCTAGTAGGGCGATGAAAGCTTCGCAAATTAACTATCCAGCTAGCTCAGAGAACACAACCACATCAAAAACACAAAGAATAAAATAACACCAAAATCATCTATCCAGGCTTAAAATCTTCTAAATCCACATGATCCTATAGAAGGTACGATCGCCAGACAGACAGAAGTTACTTGAACACCAGCAAAATATTTCATTCCGATCAGGTTAATCTGATCTGTAGTGTACTGGATTTGACTGAACTCAAAGAAGTGAGACAGTTCATCTCACTCAAAATTTTCCCGGTCTAATTGCTTTAAGACATTAAACCGCTGATGAGCCCAGTCAGAAAGGGACGAAATTGTCGTCTAGTATTTAGACACCTTCGACCTGATCAGCAAGTACCGCTGGGGGGGACTAATATAAATAATTTTCAACCATACATAATATTCGATGGTATATGATATGAAAATCGAACTGGACATCAAAACACAAGCAACTCTAAGAACATGGAAACCAATTTTCATGTTGAACTGTGTACGATTTTTCTGATGATCAATGTAATTCGATACAGTATTAACTTACACCGGTTGGTTCTTCTTCAGCTCTATTTACATAAGCCTCTTCAGCTGCAGCCTTGATATTCTTTAAAAAAGAAAATAATAATAATGGTAAATCGAAATATATAGTTATGCGTAAAAACAAAAGTTAACGCAATTATCAAATAATTCTGAGTGTGGTATGAGAGCTGTCTGCTAGCTAAAATTGGTAGACAGCAATCTTGGTCATGAGAAAAGAACAATAACAAAGCCTAACCTTGAGGAACTCAGCAATAAATCACAGCAGACTTTGCATGTGGGCGGATACGATTCGCAGATATATGTTCTGACCTTCAACGAACTCACCTGGTCGAAAATTGAATTCACGGAGAGGATAAAACAGTTAACAGGTAACCTAGATTTTTATCCTTCATGAAGATTTCGAAATACACGATAACAGCAAATTATATTGTTTCGTCCTAGTTTGGGACTCTTCATCAGGACGCAGTAAACTTAGGGGTTCCGATCCAGGACCTTATGGCTACAAGGCAAGCAAGCTCGTGGACAATTAAGCCACTGGGGCCCAATCAAATGGCAAACCCATGAATTCTAACTTCATAGAAAAATATTAATTTTTTTTTTTTTTTTTTTTTTTTTTTTTAAAAAATTTGTTATTTTTTTTTTTTTAAATTAATTTTTTAATTCACCTTATTTTATTTTATTAATTATCCTCCCCAAATTAACCTTATTTTTTATATGACATTAATTATTGTTCCACTTGACTTAAACTATGAACCTAATCACAAATATTTTAAATTTATTTCATACTATTAGTATTTCATGTATTTACACCTTTGACCTAATTCCCTCACCGGATATAATTACTTTATAAAACCATATATATACGATTGTACAGCTTGATAATAAATTCGTTGAAAAGAGTCTCTTCGCTGAAAATTGTGTTCTTAATGCTGCAATGGGAATTATTAAATTCTAACTTCTTCCGATTCACGATATAACGCAACCACTAGCCAACATCTTCGTTTAGTATTTATTCTCACACCCGACCTGCTGCACCCTAATGGTCACGATTTCTCACTAGAACCCCAGGTAACTACCCACCTGAATACGGCCAGTCGCTAATGAGCATCTCATTGATATTCAAGTATAGGTTTGTAGGGATTTAGTTGACTGGTTACAGGATTTCATCATGAGCTGACATTAGTTAGAGAAGCATTGGAACCATTGGCTCCCCAACCAATGTCAGCTCATAATGAAATTCTGTAACCAATCAACCAAATCCCTACAAACCAACACTTGAATAGTAAATTATATTGTTACTTAGAGTTTATGGAGTAATAGCAGGGAAACATTGGGGATATAAAACAAAACGTCACTTTCATTAATTCAGCTAACTTACGTCGACAATTTTTGTTTTCACAGAGACAATATCTTCAATTTTTTTAACAGCTGAGTCTAAAAGCGCTGTAGCAGTAGTATCGTTCATTTCTTGAGCCCCAAAACTCGATGTCTTATAAATCTGTTTTAATAAACAAAAAGAAAGGAAGATTTACACACACATATATGTGCATGGTTAGTCTATTTGGGATAGCTTTAAATTGGCAGACTATTGTTGGTGTATTAGATAGTGACTAGAAGAAGAACATGAACGTTAGGGACCTCTGCTGTAGTAATCCGGAGAGACGACCCGGAATTTCATTCTTCATAATAAGACATCCATCGACCATGACATTTGGCAGTATTACTGACATGCACCCAGATAGTTAGCATTTCACTTCCAATAGTCTGGAAGTCTTTCTGATAGGGAATACTAGTAAGGAAAGGAGACAGTAGTGAGAAAACTTTCAGTTCCTGATGTACAAACTGTGTTAACCAGATTAAATAGTGGGCGACAGATTAACCCATCTGGAACAGCATATATATGGCAACATTAGAAATTCACAGCGTTTAAAAGAGTGAGCTCCTCAATACACTTTTAATTGCCTTATGGGATCTAGGATGCGCAATTCGTCATACTTGGGACTTGTCATTCGAATTTACCTGCATTCCACAGTTAATGATGCTGTCCCCACCGAGACTCGAATCCAGTTTTGCATAGTTTCAAACACCAAAGCACTTTGGTCGAATCAGTCGACGGGAAAATCTAAAATTGAACTAGTTCGTGGATGAAGAACTAATCCTTTGGAGGGAGGAAAATTGTGCCTGCGTGTTACTAACAATGAAACACGTATTCAGTGCTTTCTGATTTTCAATGCTTTTTAAAATGATATCGCTTTTGTGACAAAATCCATCTTGAAATTAAACGAATCCCTATGATGCAACATTAAAAAATTCACACACGCATAATCCAGTCCACCACAATTAAGAATATCATCGATGATAATAGGCAGCCAGCTTGTCTTACTTCTCTATGCACTTCGAACACCTCACTGGGTTTCCCACTGTGGATCACTTGACACGTGACATTGTCATATAGCCAGCTGTTGAATGAGGTTGATAATGACTTCAGCACTACATGTCGTGGTGTTGAAGTAGTTTCCAAATTACTTCTCCGTCAACCCTGTCTGTCAGAGGCCCTAATGAAGTCGATGAAGGAAGTTGAGGTACAGGTTTGACCGCCATTCTATGCTTTGTTCTGTGGTGATGATGATGCGTAGAGTTGCAATTTGATTAGTAAATGATTTGCCTTTCCTGAATCCAGCTTGTTTTGAGCTGTTGGAATTCTGAATCCATTGCGTCCTTTCTTCTCTTCAGGATAATACCACTTAGTACTTTACTTGGCGTAAGTGGACAGAAGTATTATTCTACTCCAGTCAATTCTTGCACAGGTCTAACCAAGTCGTCCTTCTTTGATAGTTTTTAACGAGGTAACCAGGCATTCTTATAAACAGTAGGCACACCTTTCCTTCTTTGCTAAAATGTTTTTTGCAGTAATGAAGTGAGAACATAATGCCGAAATCTCTGATAAATAAGAGTTGAAAACACGCATGTAATTACACATCAAAAAGGAAGTGTCGCCAGGACTATGTGGTTAGTTTAGGCTGTTGTTTTTTTGAATTAAATCAACACTAACCATTAACCATATGGTGAGGATAAAAAGTTAATCTCAAGGTGTTTGTGTGTGTATAAATTTAAGTAAAATGGTACATTAGATACTTCATTTCGTATTAGAAAATCGATTAAAAATAAACCCTTTAAGAAACATCTTAATGCAACATTTGGAATGATAATTAAAGTGTTGTTCCTTTAAATACATGTGAAGCCAAATCCCATGAGACTGTGTAAAACACCAACTGTCTGATATTATTATTTGTTATTATTTCTCATTTGGGTTTCAGGTGGGAAAAATAGGATTTCAGTGACAGGTCTCCACTTTGTCCTATTGCCTGTGGTCTTTTTGTCCTGGCTTCACGATTGCTCACTACTCACTCTATGATCCACATTTAATTCCTTATTTCCAATTTGGGTTCTACTCGAGTGTTAGACTAGCTTGCAATATCACCTTATGGTTTCTTTAGCTTGTGATCTATCCATCTCCGTTTACTTCGTAGTGTTTATTGAACATTCCCAAAGTTACCTGGTACTAATTTTTTTCTAGCCAGACATCTGGTCTTCAGCATGGAGCCAGTGAAGTAGGCAGCTGTTAATGAAAGTCTGCAGTCGTCTGTTGGAAATGCTCTGCGTGATGCACAGCTGTTGGAAATCCGAATTTAGTTGTTTATGCTGAGTGCACTACAATATTTCTACACTAATGTCAGAGCGGTGTATGTCTGCCTTGCCTTTCTGCTTTTGATTCTAACGTTCTCATCCATTCCGGCTGTAACTGGAACGACGTTTTCAAGATACATGCAGGAAGTGACCTCTTTCAAATTTGTTCCGTTGACAGTAAATGGTTCATGTTTTTTGTAGGTTAATTATCTTTATTACTTTAGCCTCCGGCGTGCTCACTCGAAGTCGTGTCTTTGCTGTCAGCCTCTTCTGCCGACATTTTGGTTTTCACCTGTAAATCTGTCTTCAAGTTTGTTTGACATTAGACATAAATCCTCCGCAAAATCCAGGAAATCCAAAGTTACAATTGACCGTCCGATTAAAGAGTCGGAAATAAAAAACGTTTTTGATTATCTCATTATATCCTCACCACATTGCCCACTTCCCAAGTTATTTTTTTCCTGTTTTTTTCAGACGAATGGAACACACCAAATTTTAGATTTTCCCGTCTTTTGATTGGACCGAAGTTCTTAGTCTTAGGTTGACATGCCAGCTTCTTGTACAGATGCTTTGATGATGTCTGGGCATGTAATTAGAAGCTAATTGGTGTATGGTGATTAGCAGTGGAATCCATGATAAGGCGCATTTCGACTGGGCACTTCGGTCCAATCAATCGATGTGAAAATCTAAAATTGAATGAAATAAATAATATAACCTGTTGCATAAGAGACAGTGGCCATTGTGGCCTAAATGGTCGAGTAGATAACTCTTTTGCTGGTGTTTTTTATACAATGAGCACTGGGTTCGAGCCTCGGTGGGAACATTATCACTGACTCACTGGGGAATGCAGGTTCGTCCAGTTAGCTGACTAGTCCCAAATAGGACGAAATGCATATCCTGGATTCCAATACTAGTCCCCATCTACCAATCAGCTTCGAATGTATTACATGTTGTGCCGGTTACGCGCACGATACGAGCTATTACCTTCAGATTACTCGTATCGCCTCCCCCCATTTGTCCATCACGCCAAAAAAAAACAATTAGACTCATTGAGGATCCACATATTTATGGTTTTGCCTTAGACTTCACTTTAAATATTCGACGGTTTTAGTTTGAATTGCAGCTGGTTAGTGTCTTCAAAAACTTAAGATCACACCTAATGGTAGTGAGGACAAACTTTTATGTCAACTACTTAGCAGTACCTGTTAACTGAGATGAAAGCAAAACTATATACTACTAACGAGTAGGTGGATACCGCTCAGATCAATCAGTAGTGTTTGTTTGCTAAGCAGATCAAAGTGCAATAAATACCGGATGGCAGTTTCACCGTTTTTGCCGATGAGCTCATTACAAATCGCGAATGTAACTTACAGAGTGTCACCAAATAGTCAGTCAAAATTCGGATGGTTACAACCAATTCGGCTTTCTGAGCTCAGATAAAGTGGGTACACTGTTGATGAGGTCGACTCAAAACCAGACAAATGGCTATCCTGTGCGATTAGATTACTTCGATGTGTGGCTAGCTAATAGGCACTAGGGGTTAATGTTGATGTGGCATACAACTACTAGTCATCTCAAACAGTCAGTAGGATATAGTTTCATTAAGAGACCTGTAGTTAAATTTCACCTATTCGAACTGTTCAAATACAAACTACGAATTAATTTGAAAATTTCAAATTTGATTTAGATGTAAGTAGACTAAATACTGGACAACTGGTTTCCTTATCAACACTGTAGTATCTATTCAGACAGCTGAAAAATACAAAAAATTGAGCAAAGAATATCCCTCTTTCGATAATTTCCTCTTCTGGCTCTACAATCATATATATCTTTATATACATAGAGTAATCTAGAATAGTAGTCAATTATAATACTAGTGTTTTTTTTAAGTAATTTCAATTTGTTAAGTATTTATTATTATCATTATTGTTTCCTTTACTTCCTACTGGAACATAGGGATTCAGCCAAAAGTCTCCTTTGCATTCGGTTCTCTGTTAATGTTTACACCTGGCTACACGTCTGCCCACATGCTTTCATCTCCTCTTTGCATGAACTCCTCTGTGTCACTCTTACACTGACGATCAACTCATCGCTTCCCATTCAAGTTTCACTCGATTGATGGCCTGATGTGTGATGTCACTCACTTGATGGCGGTTTGTTTTTTCAGAGTATGGCCTCCAAACCACGTCCATTTCCTCCAACATATTTGTTGCACAATCAGTTCCTGTTGACTTCATTCTCTTCCAGAGATCCCTCACTGTTGATGATCTTCTCTGGCCGGCTATCTGATCTTGAATGAAGTATTGAGTGAAGATGGCTGTTGATGAAGTTCTGTAGTTTGTTCGAAGTGCCCTTCGTGACGTGGTGTGGCACGGCATCGAGTCTTTGATCCGTGCAGCAAGTAGAGCTGACTTCATATTGGAGTTGAAAATTCGGATCTTGGTTTTCATGATGAATAGTGCTGAGTGTTGATCTCCACACAGATTTGAGAGTAGTGAAAACTTGACTTGCAATCCATCTCCTCGCTCCTTTGATATCCTCATCAGCTCCGTCGGCCTGTAGTTGAAACGATGCTTTCCAGTTAGGTGGGTAGGTAGGTAGTTAAAGGAGGTTGTTTCTTTCATATTTATCTCATTTAAGATTTGTTAAGTCAGATAAATGAAATTATAATAAGCATAAAAATGCAATGGCAAATTAGAATATCAAATAAAATTAAGGCAAATTTCCACAACAAATTGAGGATCATTAAAACCTTGCCGGCCCGGTCAGCGGGGTGAGAACAGTGTCTGAACATAAGTTAGGTTTCTTAATGTGGATACCAACATTCAGTCACAGGAGTAATGTAGTGGACGAACTTTTAAAGTGAAGTTTAGATGAGTTGGTATGCGGCAGCTGATACCTAGCTTGTGTTCCATATCCACGAGATGAGATAGAATATCGCTATGAATGGATTTTGTTTGCTCTTTATCTAGCCGCCATGCACGGTGGTTTTCGGAAATCTGACGAGAAAGACGCCTACTTGTACTGTCTATGCAATTAACTGGCTCATCCCACAGAAGCAGTCAAATAGGTAGATACACATGAAAGAGGAGAAATTAGTCAGTTTATCTCTTACTCCCGAAAGCAAACTAGCGATGGATGGTTTTGAAGTCACAGCGTAGTTCAGTAGCACTGAATGCTGTGATTACCGCATTTCTAAGACGTTATGTTAATAACTCTCTTATATTATCCATGAGGAGCTGAAGTTGTAAGAAAAAGGCCTTTTTCGGAACTTAAAATAAGCAATAAAAGTTAATAAAGCAGGATGATTTAATGAATTCATCAAATTTCGGTAGAAATCGTCAGCTGAATACTCTACATACACAGGTATACACATACTTGTGAAATTACACTGAGCGATATAAGACTGGTAAGCAAACAAACTACATTGAATTAGTCATGCAGAAAGAAGACAGGTGAGAATGTTTTCCAGGTCATGTTCAAATAGATAATGTGGGGAGAGAGAGTATGAGAGATCAACATTAAGCTAAAATGCATTATACTTCAATTACATTACTTAGATAAACAATTAGACATTAGAGAATATGACAAGAATTGCAAACAGAGTAATATCAATAGTAATGGTTAAAGTAACAATAATAACAATAGTGTTGAAGTGAGTTAAGATAATCCTACTGATAAAGGATAGTTCTAAATGAATCAAGAATAATAATAATAAGAGATAGAATAATAAGTGAAACGTATTAACATGGTAGAATCAGAGTCACGACCATCTCCTTTTGTCTACAGAGACCTGGTTTATAAACTCGAATCGCACAAGCCTCTGCAGTTGCAAGCATCTTCTTGTTTCTTTGTCTGCTGACAATAGTGAATGACTTGACCGCGTCGATATCACGTCCACAGTCTACAAGATGTTTTGTTATTGAGGATTTTGACACTTGGCACTCAGCTGTTTTCAACCATTTTGGCAAATGCTCCATCATGCGAGTAGACGAAATTGCCTTTCCGTACGACCTTTGCGTATTTGCTTTCACAAACATACTCATTAAAATGATATACGCAGTTTGAAGTGTCGAGGATTGGCGACTTGTCTTTCCCAGATCGCTTAGTGGTGTTAAGGAAGACAAGTTTCTTGCAACATAATAAGTTCTCTTGATGGCTTTATCGAGTCTTCGTCTGACTACTTCCTGTACATAATCTCCTTTGAACGGCAAACTGATACAGACAGGTTTCTTCGGAACTGTTTGGATTGTTTTGCAGGGGCTAATTTCTTTAGAATACTTATTAACGAACTTCTCAGGATATCCATTGTTAGATAAAATATCCTCCAGAGCTTTTATTTCATGCTCAGTTGTACTGTCAGAACAAATTTTTCGTGCTCTATTGAACAGCGTTCTGACTAAGTTCTTTTTATACTGAAGTGGAACAAAGTTCTTGAAATGCATGTACTGTCCTGTCCATGAAGACTTTCTAAATATAGATCTTTCGATTATGCCATCATTCATTTTCGCTAGAAAAACGGCAAGGAATGTTTATCTGAGTGATGTTATTGGAGCGTGATGCAATTTATCTTGATTTTGATCCCTCATACTCTCTCTCCCCACATTATCTATTTGAACATGACCTGGAAAACATTCTCACCTGTCTTCTTTCTGCATGACTAATTCAATGTAGTTTGTTTGCTTACCAGTCTTATATCTGTCAATGTAATTTCACAAGTATGTGTATACCTGTGTATGTAGAGTATTCAGCTGACGATTTCTACCGAAATTTGATGAATTCATTAAATCATCCTGCTTTATTAACCTTTATTACTTGTTTTAAATTCGTATCGGGAAATAAATGTTTTCAATTCTTGAAGAAGCGTTTTTCGGAACTGTTGGTACTTTGGGCTGCCCTGGTTTTTGATTCATAGTCTTATCAATGGGTTTTTCTGGATAACCGTTCTCACCCAGCAACTGTTTAATAATATTGAGTTCTTCACTAAGACATTCGTCAGAGCAGATTGCTGTTGCTCCGTGTGGATCGAGTACTTTATTAGATTGTGTTTATATTTCAACCTATAAACTGTAGTATCCGATTCAACTCAGTACTCAGAATATACGACTCGTAGATGGAAGACTAGAGACAATAGAAGGAATAAAAATTACATGCAATATCGATGATCTTGATGCTTGTTTTTATTAATGAACTTACCGATTTCAGATATGGTTCACCAGATATGCCATGCAGTTCACTAAATGACCTTCCCAGTTCATTAACCCATCTATCGAAACTGAAGAAGAAAACATCATTTCAAGAATACTTATCGTCAGAAATAAAGTTCTCTCAACAATATTATTGAGTTTTTTTAAAAGAAGCACATTATTCATGAAAAATAATAAAAAAAAATATATGTCAAAAAGTTTAGTTTTCTGTAATTTGGTTTCTCAGGATTAGTTATGTTTTTACGAGTTGATCACGGATTGATATCAGTTGGAGAACCATTGAAAATCAGGGAGTACTGGACAGCTGTTACATCTAAGTTTGGGAATCATCGTCAGTACGCAACCACCACAGGGGTTTCGAACCCAAGACCTTCCGGTTACAAGGCCATCCAGCTCGTATACCATTCAGCCACTGGGACCTGCCCGACTCAGTGGTCAGTCCATGAATTCTAACTTCAACCAATTCGTGATTTAGCGCGACCAAACTATAGAAAATTAATCTGATGCTCACTAGTGAATCGCTACACAGTGGAGTTTCCTGGAGTTTTAGTGAGAAGTCATGACTGGTGAGGTCCATCCAGATATCACGTGTGTGGATAGATGTCCCACCAACGACTATGGTTGGGGTTGCGCTAAATGGCGAATTGGTAGAAGTTGGAATTCATGAGATGGCCATTGAGTCGGGCGGGTCCGAGTGGCTGAATGGTATACGAGCTCGCTGACCTTGTAACCGGAAGTCCCTGGGTTCGAAACCCTTGTGGTGGGTGCATACTGCCGATGATTCCTGAACTATTTATTTTATTTTTTTATTTATTTAATTTTTTTATTTTTTATTACAGCTTGATTCCACACTGTATATTTGGTACAAGTATGGAATTCTCAGCGTGGATATCGGTAGCCCAAAATTCGCAGACCAGCCATAGATATCAGGTGTGCGTCGGCGTGGGCTCGAACCCCGGACCATGTGCATGGTCGGCGAGAGTCCTAACCGCTGTGCCACCGACGCACTAGGATGAAACAGCAGCTGTCTAGTACTCCCTGGTTTTCAATGGTTCTCCAACTGATATCAATCTGTGATCAACTCGTAGAAAAATATTTTAGTGACATTTATGTATCATAAAATCGAAAAGGTTTCATTATCAAGCTAGATATTATCATCAGTCGGCGGTCATGTTTTGTCATAAACTGACATCAGTTAAAGAACCATTCAAATTCATGAAGTACTGAATGGTGGCTTCGCTCTATTTCAGAATCCTTCAGAAGTACTCAACGGCGACTACAGTAAGGGTCATATCCATGACCTACGCGTTACGAGATTAACCCATTAGTTGAATAGTCAGTGGGATCATCATGTTGTCCTTGATTTTCAATAGTTTACTAGTGTCAGTCTGTGATGTAATGCTTGAGTTTCTTGTCACTAACTCTTTCTGGACGGTCCTTCGATCTTCAGTATGGAGCGGGAGAAGGCAGTTGTTGATAAAATTCTGTAACCTGTTGAAAATCCTTTACGTGACACTCAGTACAAGTGTATGACCTATTTGGGGAGAAGTGACTAACTGACTGACTTCACAATCGTGTTGAAGACCCGAATCTTGTTGTTTATGGCTGGCTGGCTGGCTGACTGAATGAAGCCGAAGATTTCAAACTGATTTCAGATTGATAAAGACATAAACCTCATCTAGTTTACTACCTCGCTAGTCTTCTGGTCGGGTTTGGGACCGGCTAAGGAGGGGAGGTTGGGTGTGGAGCTAGTGATTCTATCCTCCACAAAACCATTCGAACGGCTACAGAAACTTCAACAAGCACTCTTGAATATATACACTCTAATTGACCCTAACTAATACTGAATTCACCATTGAACAACCAATGAGAATTTAGCCTTCAGAAACTATGGGAAACAAAAGGTAGACAATCGAGTCAGAAGGGCGTGATAAAAGCAACTCAAATTTTTGACAATAGACGGTTGTGTAACCTTTGTATATTTTTTTCATTCAAACAACTCAAACTACTATTATATTTTTTCAGTAGTACATGCTTACAGACGTTTACTGCTGGCTTTTCTTATTAGAACAATATTCTCAGAATGCTGAGGTAACTTAAACATTCCATCACAGGTACTAGAGATGCTGAGATTGTGGAAGGTTTTTTTCTCACTAACGAATGATTCTTTGTTGAACTAGAGATACTAGCGTACCCTTAAAATTAAATTCTTTGACGATCTTCGTTATTCTGCATTTAATTCATAAATGTGGCATTTTTTGAGAAAATTGTATCCACTTATTTTGTCACTTCTATGTAACAACAGAAGACAAGGGCTGGCAACAGATCGTTTTATTACGAAAATCAACACGTATTTATATATATTTTATGTGCATTAATAAGGCTTATGCAAGCAGAAAAAGGCAGTCTTCTGATTGGTTGTTTCTCGGAAGTTAAGCAGACAAACACAGTCTTATGATTGGTTGTTTTCGATATTTCTCGGAAAGTAGAGCTATCTATCTGCGAATCATATTTGTACACATTTAAGTTTGCTGTGATTGGTTGTTGAAACAGCCTTGTTCATATTTTCTCACGGCCCATATTAGTGACCTAGACATTAACGTAGATTAGTGTCAACCAATCGGCTAGCAGCCTGCTCTCACCACACTATCATTTTTCATTTATGAAAACTATAGCTATGTTTGCTGATTCTGACTGTAACTTTATATTTGATGTACACATTAACGAAGTCATCCGGAGAAGTACTTGAAGAATCGCGTGGTTACGTGATGGTAACTACGTGTCAGTGTTTCAGTGGTAAAATGTTTACCAACCGCGCATGTAATCCAGGTTTGATTTCCAGCTGACACAGAAAAAGCATCAAAGATAGGAAGGACTTCAGGGGAACATATAGAAAACAGAGGTAAGTGATGAAGATTCCTGGCCAACACCAACAGCAACAACAACAACAGACAACAATCAGCCAGCATAAATGGCAGAAATCTGAAAGAAGCAACCTCCTTCACCTAACTACCTACCCACCTGGAAAGCATCGTCTCAACTATAGGTGAACATAATTGATGAGGATATCAGAGCAGCGATGACTGAGAAATCAAGTCAAGCTTTCACCATTCTCAAGTCTGTGTGGAGATCAACACTACTCAGTATGAAAAATGAGATCCAGATTTTCAACTCCAATGTGAAGTCAGTCAGTGCTACTTACTATACGGATCAGAGACTTGGCGCGTCATAAAGAGCTCTTGGAACAAACTACAGACCTTCAACAACAGCTATATTCGCTCAGCACTACTGAGGATCAAATGGCCGGCCAGAAAAGATCAGATGACAACAGGGATCTATAGCTGCAAACCAACTCAACAGGAACCAATTGTGCAACAAATATTCAGGAAGAAAAGAAGGTCGATTGGTGGCCATACTCTGAGAAAACAAACCACCATCAAGTGAGTGACATCACACACCAAGCCATCAGTCGAGTGGAAGCCGGATGGAAGGCGATAAGTGATCAGTGCAAGGGTGATATGGAGAATGGCATCATAAGAAGAGTAGATGAAAGCATGTAGGCAGATGTGGAGCTAGGTGAAAACGTTGGGAGAGAACCAAAAGCAGTGAAGACGTGCGGCTGATGCCCTATGTTCTGCTAGGAACTAAAAGAAACAATGATAATTTGATTCATTATTTATGTGACATATGGAACTGGTGTTTTTAGTCCTTCAGGGAATACATGAGATTTTATATTGGCCTCAGATCACACTGTTACGCGTAAGAAAGAAATATGGACCAGATCTACGCTAAGTGCCAATAAATCCATCAGAAACAAAAGTCATTCAGTGTTTTCTGAGCTCCTTTTTGTTACTGCGACATTTCAGTTCAACCTGTTATGCCCAGAGCATCTGGAGCTTAATAGATTCCAATATGTGTATCGGTGGCTCAGTATTAGAACGCTTCAATATCGCATATAGATAGTCTAAGTTCTATTACCGGTCGACATACTCCTAGGCTTTGACTAGTTTACTATCGGGTCGTAAGTCTAGGAAAGGAGGGATGCCTTGGTGTGGTGCCAAAAACTCCACCCAAAAAAAAAACGACACCACCGCCACTGAAACTCCAACCGTCTGAAGCCTTATGTTCCAATCGGAATGCCAGGACTGAAAAAAGGACTGGAGATGAAGCCACCTTTAAACGTGCAGACTGTGGCCTCAGACATCCAATACCATAATAGGTTACTTGTGATAAAGACACGCCATAATGGTAACCTTTTTGGTTCCAACACTAAGCTATACGGCTTTTTTTCTTTATTTCTCAAACGCCTCAATAACTTCTCGGCTACGAAAAGATACCTCCTTCAACATATCAAATCTAACAATGAAAATCCATTAGATTTATTAATAAATAATAAATCCAAATGTTTTAGGTTTATGGGTTTATTTGAAAATAGCTTCAGTGGTGACTTCGTTGCAGACTAATAAAATGAAATCCAAGAATTATTGGAAAGTTATTTTCTCCTAGCTTGGGACTCTTCACTCTTACGCAACCGTAATTCCAATAGGGATGTAAAGCGAAACCTCCAGATTAGGATGATAGCCTAGTGACTATTTGAATAAGTGGACTGAAATTCTAACGTTTGACAATTTCAAAATTAAGCGTTACTCTTACTAGTGGGTTTCCTTGGGTTCCGATTGGAACAGAGGTCTTCAAAACCACATCTCCACTTTCTCCTATTAACTTCTATCCTCTTTAACTGGTCCTGTGATTATCCATCTCATCTTCTTCCTACATAATCTCCTCTTGCTGATAAGTTTGTGTATCTACGTAGTTGTGTGAGTGCTGGCGGACAAGTGACGGATGAGATTTCCAACTGTATAATGAAGGCTAGGGTGGCATACATCAACTTGAGCCATCTCTGGTGCCGTCGCGATGTTAGCCTGGCTGTCAAAGTCGGGTATACAATGCTTCGGTATGGGTTGTCTTGCTGTACGCCTGTGAAATCTGGCATCTCTGAGCTGAGGATGTGCGGGGACTCTGCGTGTTCGATCACCGCTGTCTCCACAGGATTGCTTACGTTCGATGG